ATCCACTTCAGTCACTGTCTGTGAGATGTTTGTCCATTTCTCTCTCAGGATGTCCTGTAGTTTATCTCTGACTTCTGACACAGCCGCTGTCACGTCCTCAAAGTACCTCAGAGGACGGATCTTGATGCTGGATGAGTGTGTAGATTCACTGAGTGGTGACAGTGAGGGGTAGTCGTGTAGAAACTGGTTGTGGTCCTGTGTGTGTGACAGCTTCTTCATCTCAGCGTCTCTCCTCTTCAGCTCAGTGATCTCCTGCTCCAGCTTCTCCTGAAGCGCTCTGACTCGAGAGTGGAGCCATTGATAGCCTCCACCTCCTGTTGGAGCAGCTTCACATCTTTCTCTCTGTCCTAGATTCTCTGCTGGATGTTTCGTCGACTCACCTCCAGCTCTCTCTGCTTCTCGCTCCTTTCTGCTGCAGCTGGGACTGTGTCGTGACCTTTATGTTGGTCCATTATACAAAGGAGACAGATAGACTGCTGATCAGTATGACAAAATACTTTCATCACCTCATCATGACGAGAGCAGACGTTCTCCTGGAGCTTCTTGGAGGGCAGGTATTTCATAATGAGGCTGGAGGTGTTTCTCACAAAATGAGATCAAACAGAAGAGACAGGACTTACAGGCTTTCAGTTTCCTCCCAGTGTAGACATCACAGGCCACATCTTCAGATCCAGCATAGCAATGATCAGCAGGAGCAGCTTGGAGTCCAGTCTTCTTCAGCTCCTCCACTAAAACTGCTAACATGGTGTTCTTCACCAGGACAGGCCTTGCTGGGAAGACCTGTCTGCACTGAGGGCAACTGTAGATTTTCTTCTCCTCCTCTGTATCCCAGTGGCTTTTAATACACTTCATGTAGTAACTGTGTCCACAGGGAACAGCCACCAGATCCTTCAGGAGATCCAGACAGATTGAACAAGAGAAGGTTTCCCGGTCCAGCTGAACTCCTTTCTGTGCCATTTCTCCTCTCAGTGACTCAACTGTCTGAGTTTCACTTCCTCATAACTGAAAACAACTTTCACCACTGATCTACACAACATGTGTCTGTGCTGTGAATGTCAGCTGGTGTCGGTCACACCCATCTGCAAACTGTAGATCTGAAGGGGAGGAAATACTGGGTCAGAGTGGAGCTGGCTGTGTTTGAGAGCAGGCAGGAGAGGGAGGAGTTATCAAGCTGGTTTATTCCAGGACGAGGAGCAGCACTGTTCATTTTTAACTTTATTTCCTCATTCACAATGAAGCCTCCGTTAAATCCTGTCCCCCATCTGAAATATTTGAAGCTTTAAGTTGTTCAATACTTCTTGACTCTTCAGGTCTTTGGTGATGACTTCATATTTAGAAAAAAAAAAAAATACTGTGCACACATCCAAGCAAAATGCATACAGGTGCAGGACAAAAAAATGAATGACCTGCAGACAAAAGAGAGGTCTTCACTCTGTTCAGCTCCTAATCTGCAACTTTAATAAGGACAGCATTTGGATCCTTGCCCTTAAATTATTGCTCATTGGCAGCTGAACAGTGTGCGGACCTCTCTCTTTTTTCTGATAACTTCATATTTGTCAAATTCTTTCTGAATTCTGCTCAAATTTATTTTCATGCTCAAAAACAGTTGACTGAGAATTAAGTTATCAAAATGAAATCTCTAAAAATGTACTTCATTTAATTATGTATCTACCTGAAGTTCACATAGGTAATCAAAAGAGATCAAACTAAATACCTAATATTTCATCAAAACATTGAAATATTTGATGATGAAGGTTCACTTCACTTCAAATCATCTCCAGCCCTCTGAGGTTGATGCTGTCATACACAACATAACGGGGATGTGTTTATAAAAATTAAACAACGAAGCAACTGGTCAGCTCTCTGATAAACTGCGTGTGTGCGACCTTCAGGTGATTTTCACTGAGAAGATCAGAGTATATTCAGTCACCACCCCAGATCCAATCCTCATCTTGGTTTGCCCGGTCAACCAATCAGAGGCTGTATCTGTGATCAGCTGACATGTAAGGGCCAATGAGAAACCAGTGTGTCCTGAAACAGACGTCATGGTCCGCTCTCAGCACAGATTGAACTGTTTTGAATGGATTCATCCTGTAAAGTTTATTCTAGTATCAGTATCAGCTCTTTTTTTTATAAAACAGCTCTAAATAATCTGTTTGTCCTTTGAATAAATACTTTGAAGAGACTCTCTGACCTTCCAGAGGGTCATATCACTTATCTTTGAGCCAGATGTGAACCCGCGCTGGGCTGAGGGACTTCAATTCTGTGACACGCTTGTAAAAGTGGAAAAAGGTAATAAACCATCTATTACTGTTAGTGTACAGAATCCTACAGACCATGACATAGTGCTGGCAGGAAGCACTGTGAACCAGAGAAGGAGATAGCTCACCAGATGTTGAGGGAGGAGTCGGCTTCATTCTCAAAAACAGATAATGATATCGGCTGCATAGAGAAACTACAACTCAGCATATCTCTGAAAGACACTGAGCCTGTCGCAAAAACATACCTCTCTGTACCTAAGCCACTTTACAGAGAGATGAAAGATTACTTGCATGACCTCATCGCACAAGGCTGGGTGGAGAAGTTAAACTCACCGTATGCATCACCAGTTGTTTGTGTACGAAAAAAAGATGGAACTCTGCGGCTGTGTATTGACTTCCGTGAAGTGAACAAAAAAACACTTCCTGATCGCCAGCCGATTCCCAGAGTGCAAGACATCATGGATGGCCTTGGTGGAAATTCCTGGTTCTCTCTCTTAGATCAAGGTAAAGCTTACCATCAGGGCTTCATGGCTAAAGAAAGCAGACCTATGACTGGCTTAAGTGACACCTTGGGGTCTTTATGAATGGATTGGAATACCCTTCGGTTTGATGAATGCCCCAGCTGCCTTCCAGCGATGTATGGAAGAATGTTTGGAAGGGCTGCGTGATGAGATCTGCATACCATACCTGGATGACACGCTTGTCTTTAGCAAATCATTTGAGGACCATGTTGAGGACGTGAGAACAGTGTTACAGCGACTACGTCAGCATGGGATGAAGTTGAAGCCAAGTAAGTGTGAAGTCTTCAAGCGTGAGGGTCGCTATTTAGGACGTATTGTATCTGCAGAGGGCAGCAAAATGGACCCTGCTGATACGCTTGCTGTCAGAGCTATGAAGGAGAAGAAACCAAAGACTGTGGGAGAGCTGAGAGCTGTCATGGGACTACTGAGCTACTATCGACAGTATATAAGAGACTTCTCCCGCATAGTCGGACCTCTGTATGCCTTGCTGGAAGGGGGTTCTGAAACTAAAGAACAGAAGGAAAACAACTCAAGGACGAGGAGAATCAAAGGTAAACACAGGGGAGTCCCTTCACACAAACCAATCACATGGACTGACAAACATCAACAGATACTGGAAAAACTGATTGACTGTCTTGTTGAACCACCAATACTTGGATTTCCATATTTCAACTGTGCTGGAAATTTCTTGTTAACAATACAAAAGAAAGGATCATGAGTCAATCAATGTCTTTGTTTAGTTTAATTCTTCTTGCAAGTAGAAGGAACAAAGCTTACAAAGTGTGTCAATACAGTCTGAAGGAAAGCCCAAAGTAATCACAATATGCTTGGTTTTATAGACACATGCTTCACAGAAAAACCTTCATGACTATATAAGGACAGGGTTGGTAACTTTTTCCAGATCAACCAGAATTTTTAAGATTCTGGTTGAAATTGTCTTTAGGTCCTCATGTTCTCTGAAAAAGAAAGAAAATCCATCATCTGTATCAGTTGTTAGTCTGTAAAAACTTTGACCAATGTCTGCCACAAGGTACCAATCTGATGAACTAATCACACGCCTCCCTGTCTCCCTGGAAATGCTCTTTTGGTTGCGGTAGCAACTAATGGCCATAGGCTAGGTTATGTGACTTATCAGCAGTAGGACATAGGAGCATGACTGGACAAACAAAAGAAATGTCTTATTCACTATAATTATAATAATATCCACTCATGTAATTGGAGAAAACAGAAACCCTCATTTACTTTCTTTAAGAATAAATTTGAAAATAATTTTGCAACAAATGAGGTCTGATACACACCTGCGGGTGGAGAGTGTGTGTGAAAACATGTGGAGTTTGATTTTGAATGGAGAAGTTTTCTTCATTCATTCTTCATGAATGTATTGCTGATGCATTCATTGGCTTGATTGCTAAATGAGTTATGTGAGTGCTCTACCTCATGATTGTTGTCTTTTAAGAGAAAAAAGATAAACTGAGAACTTCTTGTAGGAGGAATGTAAAGATGCTCTGTCTGGGTTTATTTATATTTTGTTACTGTTTTTGTATCAAAATGTTGAACTCTGTACATATTTTTTAAAGTAGGCCTTTTTCCTATAACTGCCTTGCTGTTTGTTTGTTTGTTATTGTTTTTTTGTGTTTATGTAATGCATATTTTCTACTGAGGGATGCACATTTGATCACTAAGAGAAATTGTAATTTACAATGTTGTTAATTTATAAAGAAAAAGCTCACTTAGATCGAAGGAGAATTACACAGGGTTCAATAAAACAATACACTCTTAACAGGTAAACAGACAGGTTTGTGTGACTGTGGGCAGGACATGTTCTCAGATCACAGAGAGAAAAGCTAAAGGAAGATCTGAGAAAAGGTGGGGTTGAAATAAAGAGAAAGGGAAATATAAAGCTTTGTTTAAAACTCTAAAAGAAACTAGACTAGTTAAGAGAATTCAATTAGGCTAATGAATCTGTAATGATTTAGTTGTGGTTGTTTTTTCAATGTAGGCCTTCATTTATCTTTTTTTCCTAAAGGTACTCTGGCCCACACTCCAACACACAAGGTGTGCGGTAATGCACCATAGACTGTAAATAATAATAATCTTTATACAGTCTATGGTTGCCACCCCGCAACTCAAAGAAAAGAAAGAAGAAAGAAAATAATTTGGGGCTGCACCGTTCATGAACAGTCTATGGCGGCGCTAGTGCAACATGTACAGTGACACATTCAACGAAGAAGAATAGAAGTTCCGCTTTGATAGATATGATAGTTGTTGAGTTTGAATCGCTTGTCGTATCTGTTGTTGGGCAGTAGCTGGGCAGGATGCTGCTTGTTTTGTCTGAAGACCATAAAGAGCACCTCTCCTTCCTGCCGAAGGTGGACGCCGCAGGTAAGACACTTCCTGTGGGCTGTGTGAACAGCTGACTGTCAGCTGATGTAGAGAACTACGAGACATACAGTCAGCTGTTTGTCCTCACTATCTATCTTCAAACTATTCATCTGCACAAGCAAAACAATCGAGCAGCACTATTGTAGAGCAGATTGTATCACCACATCACAAGTAGGTATTCATTTCTAGAGGGAGCTTTGGACTAAGTGATGGTGGACCCAGCTAGTCCACTTCCTGAGCACTGTCGAGGTTCCCTTGAGCAAGGCACCGAACCCCAAAACTGCTCTGGAGCGCCCAATGTGGGCAGCCCCGTAACTCTGACAGCTCTCCATTAGTGCCTGTCCATAGGATGTGTGTAGCATGTGTGTGTGTTTCAGCCTGTGTGTGTTCAGCGTGTGTGTGTGTGTTTCAGCCTGTATGTGTGTAGCATGTGTGTGTGTGTGTGTTTCAGCCTGTATGTGTGTAGCATGTGTGTGTGTTTCAGCCTGTGTGTGTGTAGCATGTATTTGAATAGACGCTTTAGAAAAGAGCAGGTTGACACGTTGTTATACTGAATGTATACTGTGTTTTTTGTGTTAATAAAGCGAACATATGTGTCTTGTGTTTTTCCTTAGTGGTAGGAGAGTTTGGTCGCATAGCGCTGGAGTTTCTTCGGAGAGGAACCAGCACCAGGATCTACGAGGGAGCAGCCAGTAAGACGTCTCTTTATTGAATACTCATACTAATCAAGCAGCTACTGATACACTTTAACTGCTAGCTTTTATTCTTATCTTGATTTACACATGTATCTTTTTTTTTCCCCAAATAGATTTTTGGGCTTTTGCCTTTATATGAGATAGGACAGTGGATAGAGAGACCAATCAGAGGAGAGAGTGGGGGATGGCACACAGAAAAGGAGCTTCAGGTTGGACCTGAACCTGGGCCGTCCGCTTGGAGGACTGCCTGTGTTTAGGGTGCGACCTTACCAACCTGTGCCTCTTAATATTTATGAAGTTGTTATATTAGTTAGTTCACCTTACCCACAGCCCTGCAATAATAATATTTCCATAAGGTCTACCTTTAACTGATGTACTAAGGACAGGCATGACACCTTTGAATATAATGCAACACATGGACCAGCTTTGAATAACGCATCGTCCAAAATGACCAAACAGTTTAATCAAAACCTCTTGAATATTTAAGTAGATTTTATAAGAGGGACCTCAAAAAGTTCAAATGGTTTATCACACTGAAGATTATGCAATAGTATTCAAAAGGGGCTTCCCTAACTGTCATAACTTATTTTACATTTAGAATTCAACCTTTTTTGGGTACTTTATAAAAATCAGACATTTTAAACCCTCTTTCATTACCATTGCTGAATACAGTGTGACGGACATGCTGAATAGGACACGGTGTGTCAGTGGTCGGGTAGTTCATCCAATAGTTGTCAGCATTTTTATTTTTACATTTTTCAATTATATTTCCCAATGGTCCTGATTTAAATGTCATATAAAAGATGAAAACACGTACTTCTTTTCTGAGGTAGGCTGACAGGTTTTTTTAAAAGTCTTGTTTGAACAACCAGGATTTGAAAACCATGAACTATAAAAAAAAAAACATAATTACGGACTTCTTGCAGGGAAGCTGTGTGTTCCTGTGGAAATGGTAAAGCATGGAGTGGAAGGCCTGATGTTTCTGATGACGGAGAGCTCCAAACACATGGTGACCCACACATTCTGACACTTCTTTATGCATGTGTAGTGATTTATTAAGACTGTTCATTTAGACTGCTTTCAATTGTTGACAACTCTGAATTCAAGATTCTAAACTTAGTGGGGCCTGACTGATAAGGGATTTTTGGGGCCGGTATCGATATTGGGGAGATTCTATTGGCCGATATCTTTGTAAGTTCCTGGTTCAATCTGTAGAGAAAGAAGAATATAGAGACCCACATTACTAATACTAGGAGTGCAACAATAGAGTCATCCCACAGTTGAATATGTACCTTTCTTATGTTTCTTCATAATTCATAAGAAGTGTTATCTCGGGGCGCTTTACAAAAGAGCATAAGTGCTAAGATGCAGGAAGGATTTCTCCTTTGTATTCCTCTCGTTCCTGTTGTCCACACTTCCTCTCTACTGAGGTGGAGGTCGGAGCAGGTCGTGTATGAATGAGGACGGTGATGGTTGAGAGGACGACACAGTCTGATGGTGGAGGATGGGGGTCAGGTGGTGGTTGAGAGGACGACACAGTCTGATGGTGGAGGATGGGGGTCAGGTGGTTGTTGAGAGAACGACACAGTCTGATGGTGGAGGATGGGGGTCAGGTGGTTGGACGACACAGTCTGATGGTGGAGGATGGGGGTCAGGTGGTGGTTGAGAGGACGACACAGTCTGATGGTGGAGGCTGGGGGTCAGGTGGTTGTTGAGAGGACGACACAGTCTGATGGTGGAGGCTGGGGGTCAGGTGGTTGGACGACACAGTCTGATGGTGGAGGCTGGGGGTCAGGTGGTGGTTGAGAGGACGACAGAGAGAGAGACGATTAAACTAAATGAAAGTTTGGGGAACAGACAGTATTATTGATGATTGACTGATGCTTATAACTATCTGATCTACGTATATATTCCATTTTGCCGATAAATACATCTTTGTTACATTTCTTTAGAGACTTTATATAATGGGGCAGACATAGATGTGCACGGGGCATTATTACCAGTTTCTGTGTACTCTTTGTCATTCCACTATGACCACAGATGAAACTGTATTTTGTTGTTCTACACAAAAGCATGAAGGAGTCAACAGTTTCAAAAATAATTCTTTCGTGTGCATGTGTTTGTTTCCAGATCTCTGAAGTGGATTTCCTGGACTCTGTGTTGGTTTTGGGGTTTGATGAGGAGCTGAACCAGTTGCTTGTACAGGTAAAGTTTCATTAGGTTTTGTATCTGAGATGTCTGAGCATTACTGCACTGTTGTTGATCATGGGTTCTTTTTTGTTGCAGCTCTACCTGCAGCACCGCAGCCAGATCCGCAGCGTCCTGAGTCAGCTACCCACCAATGTGCCGGCATATCACAACCTGGAATGGAGACTGGATGTACAGGTGTGAATGTGTTTCTGTGAGATAGTTTAACAACTGGGGATTCAATGGGATCATTTAGTAGGTGTAAGAATCAGGCTCAAGCACTAATCACTGGCCGGCCAATCATCTGCAGCACAGCACAGAGACAGACGCACAAACAAGACAAAGAACACCAAGATTAACAAAACATTTAAATACACTTGTGACTCAGTCATAACAGAAGGAAGACGGGGCACACTATAAACACAAACATTGTCACTAAATGTTTCGACATAGGGAGGGATGTATGTATAAATGCAAATAGAATCCACTCATCCCAGTGTCACGCTTTGCTCTGTCAGTCCCTGAGTGAAATCTGTGAGCCGATGTTAGAACTCAAAAAAAGTCAAATCCGGGAACAGTCACTACCAGTTCATTGGTTAGGTAGTGGCGTTGTTAGTTTGGCGTTTGTACTGCTGATACATAACTTCACACGTTAACCCAAGCTCAGTCACCATGGCTACAGACTCCTCTTTGTCCTGTGTGCACTACCCAGACACTCCTCATCTAAAACACTAAACCAGTCGGGGATTTCAAGTTGTGAGAGCACGTTCATCAGACAATCTCTCACTTTGTTGGACACAAGTGAAAGGAAGTTCACAGACATGGGCTGTGTGTATAAAACACATTCATCATTAACTTTATTATCCTCCCTTTGTCTTCTTCCCGACTCCTTCCTGCCAGTTGGCGAGTCGTTCAGTCCGTCACCAGGTTGTTCCCAAACTGACGATGCGCCTGCTCCTAACAAGAGGCTGTGACAACAGCAGCAGAGTTCTCCAGACAGACCCGAGCACCCTCCTGCACCTCATCGCCACACTGGAGATCGCTTTGGCTGCCATGAAAACCAGTCATGCTCGTCGCATATTACGCAACATCAAATAACCCAAAGGCATTACAGTGTCCCTTTGCAACACATCACATTGTGCCACAATGCCTTTATACCTGAGCAGAATAATGAGCAGTGCAGTGTTTTATTTCATTTGCTTTTTGTCCTTTAACCATGTTAAACTAGGTTTTTGCCAATCTGACTGCCAAATGTTCATCACTTTTATAACCCTTAAATTATGATTCCGACCAAATTGTATTGATGATTGTATATTCATATTCTACAGTGCTACTGATATAAAAGTATATATGTAATATACGTGATCATGAAGCGTGCTCAGTTTAAAAGACAGGAGGACTCTAAAATAAAAATGATAAAATAAAAGGGACGCGCTGTCGAGTCTGCGTCCACACATCGGAGAACAACACAGAAGATGAGAGCTACTTTACTGACTCTGGCTTATACTGAGTCATGTTAGTCAGATACAGAACACTGGGTGATTTCTCCATAATGAAGACTGACCACGTTTACCAGCCTGCTTGTACGTGAAGTGTACCGTTTTGAAGCAGACCTCTTCCAAGCATGCCGGGGCCGAGACTGGAGCACTCACACTGGTCAATGAAGTGACGACTTTAGGGGTGAAGCGTGATTAGACACAGTACAGATTGACTGTTGTGAGTGCGCCCCTAAACCCTGCTGTGCCTGAGCAGTCAGAGATGTTGGGTGGTGTGGTGCGGATTGCTTTGTGAGTTCTCCCAGAAAGCAGTAAAGTATATACCAAAATATATATTTGTATGCAGTGTGCACCACAGTTTGATACAACTGACAAGGGTATCGGGCAATTTGGAAAACAGACAGTCAATGCCTTTTTCATGAGCATGTTAATGTTAAACAGCAACACATCAGATGGATACTGGAGGGTTGTTGCTCATTTTCAGGGACCTACAGTACACACAGAGGTCAATCTTACATAATGAGTGATGGGAAGTCATCCCTGTATTTGAGAGGTCAAGAAGCAACTAAACAACAACTTGGTTTTCATTAAATGCAATAGACCAGATAGCAATAAAATCACATAGTTTAGATGAATAGGAATACGTTAATGGAAAGTATACTTCATCATGCAGTATAGTTTGTTAGAACTTTCAGAGCTAGTTGTTATTGGGGTTGAATTTTTTACTATTGGCATTTTTTTTTAATTACACAAAACCATCCAGCCAGCGTATATGTTAAACTTGACCTCATGAATCTTTGCAAGATCCAGGTTTATTATATCTTAGCCAATCATAGCTGTGGAAATCCAACAACTACAACCAGGATAGTAGAAGAGCCTATTGCTGTATGTTTGATATTAGTAGCTTAAAAACTTCCCAAATGACATAACAGAAGAAATAAGAGTAACAATAACATCCTACACTCCTTGTAATGGTTAGCCTCCTCTGTATCTTGTAATGTTTATGAACTTTTTTGCCAGCATTGTCTTGTTTTGTTACTTAGCCAAAATAAGCTGTACGTTTTCTGTATTTGACACTTTTTTTTACTTACTTTTTTAAAGGGGACATATAATGAAAAATCCACTTGTACAGTGTTTCTGAACATATACTTGGGTAACCTGAGTGTCTACTGACCCACAAAATGTAGAAATAAACCCATCCAGTCCTTTGTTTGTGGAGCTGGTTTATACAGGGTCACAAACCTCCTCTGGTGCTTGATTCATGTTATATTTCGAACAAAGCACAGCGCAGATGTTTCATTTAGACCACAGGGGGACTGTTTGAAAAGGTAGAGAAGGAGGATAATATGTCCTCTTTAGACATCCAAACAAATTGCTCTTGGTATTACCTTATTGACATTTAAGTTTTAAATACAAGCAAGAATAAAGAATGCACCAAAACCAGCCATCCATGATCTTTTTGATCCTTTCCCTCAGAATGACCAGAGGGCGTTTACAAGTGCCAAACTTGTTCAGTTGTTAAACTAATCAGTGGGGTTACTTAGAGCTTACTGGCTCTAGCATGTGGAATATTCTGATAATCGGCAATGAGTGCACAGGTTGAAGAAGTAAGTTTATTAGAATACCATGGGTTTAATGTTTTCAGGCTGTGAAGGGGATTTTAACATTTATTACAAGGATTTCATCAAAAGTTTATTGCTATAGATGCCTTTAAGTGACACCTGAGTGGGTCCCATGTCAGTAGTCCAATTTGCCTTTTTTCTGGGTGGAGTCGTCTCTCAACTGGGAGGTCAGGGGTTGGATCCCCAGCTCCTGCAGCTATTCTTTGATAAGTCCTTGGGCAAGAAGCGTAACCCCAAGATGCTTCTGCTACCTTCTGGGTGGTGTGTGCATGTGTATAAACGGATTAGTTAATATTGTTGGACAATTTACATAGCTTACCAGCCTCTGCCATCAGTGTGTGAATGGGTAGATGTGACCTGCAGTTTAAAATCGTTTTAACATTTAAATTTAAGCTTTTTTTCCTCAGACTTGTGCCTGTTGAAAGTTCCTTTATTGTATGCACACTGAAGAATCAGTACCACCACCTCTGGGACTCTCCAGGACATAAAATCTTCTTTTATCGGGTGTTTGGGGCGGCACTAAATCAAAAGTTATTCATATGATGTAACTTAAGACTTAAAAGTTGTCTGTGTAGGTCTATCTTTCCTATTGCTCTATTTAATTTTTTATTAGGCTCTTCCCCAAAGCCTATCTTGTAGTTAATTTTTGCCAGTTTCGTATCTTGTAAATGTAATTCATGAAAGTAAAGTAAACATTAATCAAAAATGAAGCTGCAAATCTCGTAAATTAAACTTGTATCAGACTTAATCTGTAGTTTTTGCTCCGTTGTAATGTTGTCATTCTGCCTGGTAAGAATATGAGACTATATCTATACATTATTTGTGCAGTAGAAACTGAATACAGTTATGTTAGTAATAGCTATGATTTACTTCCCATGAAAATTGGTATCTGATCTGAGCTGTGTATGCTATACACTTACATTCACTTAACGATAAAGGCGAATAAAAAGTCTTGTTAGAGCCGAAATGTGTATTTTTTATTAGTTGCTCTTCGATTTCTTCCTTGGACCTTGGTAAACTGGGATTTCGTATAACGGGTGTAATTCCGGCCCTGAACACTAGGTGAAGTCTTGGTTTGTGATGGGAATAAAAACATGACTCGTGATTGGCACCTGGTGGGAATGGAGGCAAACAGTTTTTAAATGTGTCGGCAGATCGAGTGGCCCTCTTTGTAGTCATGTATATTTCGTTAGTATTGGATTGAATGTTTTATTGACGTTTTAAATCTTTATTTCCACAAAGTTAAAGTGCTTCCTAATAAGCAATAATGTATAATAGATAATAATATAATGTAGATATTATTTGAAACAAATTACCTATTATTATAAAGAATATAAATAATTCAAACATGGAATAAGAAGGTAATTTCTTCAAACTCTTTTGAAAAGGGTTAAATTATATGTAAATGAATGACATTCTGTAAGATTGCTGGAAAAGTTAGTATTGTTCAAAATGAATAACAGATCACGTTGATTAAGTTCTGCTTCTATACCAAAGTGTTTATTAAGATCTAACCGAAAATCAGTCAGAAACAGTCACATGTAGCCTACACTTTGAATAAACAGATGTTCAACATACATTTACTAAAGGAACATCTATCTTTATCTTCTAGGCTTTGTTTGGAATATATATAAATAAAATAGAGTTTAAGGGTTATTATGTATAGCTTATTTGAAATGGCAATTCTTTAATTTTGTTAGGAAATATATATTTGTAGGGAAAAGTAAATACTGTGTTCCGTGTTTGGTTTTACCATCAAGAGATTTGTTTTGCCATTTATATTCAGTAAACACTTGGCTACAAGTTATACCTGAGCAAAAAGTTGATGCAACACGTGAATTAATAAAAAAGTATGTTAACACTAACAAAACATATTTACCCTCCATGTGATGACGATTCTGACGTCAAGTCGGGAAGCCACCTTTTCCGAGTTGTTTTGACTTGAGCAGGCGTTCATGTGCATTTTACAACTCGGAGACTCGTCCGACGCCACTTGAATGCAACAGTAGATCTGATCGCGTCAGGCATCACCTGACCGTCTCAGCTCTACACAGGAAGTGGATTTTCAAATTCAACATGGCTGCTGTCTGAAAATTAAGGAGGAGCTGTCTTTAGCAATAAAATAATCAGGGATTTTTAAAGTACAATAGAGTATACTAAGTACAGTGTAGTGTAGCCGCTGGTCCAACATGGCGCAATGTGTTCAGTCCGTGCAGGAGTTCGTTCAGGACTCGTTCGTCCCTATGGTTGCCGTCTTATGTAGTGAAGAAGCGGAGAGAGTGACTCGCAAGAACAACCTGAATTTCGCTGAGCTTCTAAGGCCTTTCTGCAGACTAACGTCCGAAGGTAAGACACGCAACATTGAACCCACGAAGGTCCAACATGACTGACAGGATCTAATATGTACTACAATGAGCTGAGTTATGGTGCTAGCGTTTCTAACCGGTAATGGGTTGAAGTTGACGTTAGCATTGCGCTAATAGCCGCCTAGCTGACTGGATTGTGACAGGAGGACAGATGTTCATACTTGACATCTGAGAATGACAGTGACAGTTTTTATAGCTTTTCTCAGACATAACGTCCGTACAGCCAGTTAACATGTGTGCTAAGGTTTTGTCATCAGACCGCAAAAGAGTGAGCAGAAGAAGGAAACTAAACCTATTAACGTTAGCCAATTAACTTGTTTCCGTCAACACATGAAGGCTTGAGATCAGGGCAATATTCGACCTGTGTCTAAAACTTCATAGTCAACACGAACAGTTTACTTTGGTTTGCGCAGAACTATGAGCATGTTTTTATTAGATCAATGTAGCCAGCTGAGAAGCAGTGAAGTTCTTTCTATTAGACTGTCAGGGCTTCACATCACATCCTCATAGCAAACACTTTGTGTGGCTTCATTGTACACAATAAATAAAATTCATATTGCAGTCCAGGACTACCACATGCATGTATGTAATTGTTAAAGGGGGCAGAAGGGCAGATTGTGTTCATAAACTTTAAACAATACGATTGTTTAAGTCTATAAAAACAATCTGGAATACAAACGAAATGATGAGCCTTCTGAATGGTAAAAACACATTCAAACACTTATATCTATCAACAGAAGAATCCCAATTGTTTTCCAATTACACAGTAAACATGAACAGAAAATGACATGCCAGGGGAAAAAAAAGATAGTCAACAGAGGGGTGTGCTTATGTACAACCTAGTGTTGTCTGTTTATCAAATCTGTTGCTTTAGAGCTGTTTTCTGACCTAGGACCAGCGGAAACTCAGACTGCTCTATAGACTCGTACACATTGTGTGCTGTCTCTTCAGTCGTTCTGATGTTCTCCTATCTCAAGTTGCTGCTATACTTCCTTCCACAGAGCACTTTGTTGGCTGCAACTGTGGGATTTGTAGTTTTTATGGGAATTTGTAGTCTCAAATGAAAAAGATAAGTCTCAGTAAAAAGTCTTGACCCAAATATGAACAAATGAACTCATCTCAGAAATGCCCAAGTTCCAGGAACATGTTTATGTTGTAGACCAGTAACTGTGGCACCAAGCTCCCAAAACTGCTGTGGGTTATGATCTTGAATTTTGAAAAGTCTATGGGATTCATTCCATGCGTGACTGGCTCATCAGATCAAAAAGTGTCAATTGGCATGCCATCTCTGATTTTTGTCACTTTGGATGAAAGCGTCTGCTAAAGGAAATGTACAATATGTGTGTGTACGTGTGTTTATGTGTAAATACTGTATATATATGTACAGTATTTATAAGCAATATTTCAAAAGTTAGTCGTGATTGATCACATGTTTGAAATTCCATTATTTTTCATTTAAGAATAATAATTGTTAGGCTTTTATTTTTGTACTGTCTTAAATATAGAGTACCCTGCTTTTATTTTGAACTAAAGTAAAGAGCTTCTGGTAGATGGAAGGTTAAGACATGATGCTAATGCTGCATTCATGTGGTGTCGGACACATCAGAAAAACAAGTTTCTGTGTTTTAAAATGCACCTTATAAAGACCTGCTCAAGTCGGAATAACACCTCGGAAACTCAGAAAAGAATTAGGTGCCCGACTTGACGTCAGAATTGTTATCACCTGGGGGGCATAATATGTTTTGTTATTGTTAAAATACTTTTATTAATTCACGTATTGCACATCAACAGTTACATTCCACTGATCCTCTTTGTAGCATCAACGCCTTTTTTTGCTGTTGTTACAGCATTCAGACTTTACGAACTGAAATAACGTGAACACACTGAAGTCGGTTGAACAACTTACCATCTCGGAAACTTGGACCACCCGATCGGCACTTGAATGCAGCATGGGCACAGAAACAGGAAGTGGTTAGGGATCACAAACTGACGTCAAACAACTCAAAGGAACCGTAACAAAGGTCAATGTGTGATGTCATAAGGTCAATGTGTGATGTCATAAGGTCAATGTGTGATGTCATAAGGTGGATATTACTTTGGACTCGTCAGCTGAGCTGTCTGAGAGTTTGTTAAAGTGAAATGAGACATTCAAAGATGCAGCAGTGTCCTTCTTTTACATCACTGAGACTACAGGGAGACACTGAGGACCTACCTCCTCTATCTACGGAGAGCCGTAAGGGACAAAATAGCAGACATTTATTGCAATAAAGAAATTCATGCAATTTCAGACCTGAATTAATTGTGATAACTATTTAATGCTGACTTAATACAGAATATTGAAAGGAAAAAGTAAGCGGTAGCATGTATGAAAGAATTAACCAGTATTTACGTAGCAGTCACTTCTATCAATAAATCATTACGAAAGTAGATACTTTTTTTTGCCATCACTGACAATGTGGCCATTTTGCCTTAACAAGCAAGTACAAAGATTCACATTTTACAGAAATATATATTTGTTTAGGCATCAACATAGTGATGACGGGCGGCTGTGGCTCAGTTGGTAGAGTTGGTCACCTCACATCCTGAAGGTCGGGGTTCGATCCCAAACTCCTCTAATGTCTGATGTGTCCTTGGGCAAGACACTTAACCCAAAGTTGCTCCCACTGCTTTATTGGTGGCGTGTGTATGAATGGAATTAGCTACTTCTGATGGTTTCTTTACACAGCAGCCTCTACCAGCAGTGTGTGAATGTTTAGGTGTGACCTGCGGTGTAAGAGCACTTTGAGTTGTCAGAAGACTAGAAAATGGCTATACAAGCTGATGGCCATTTACCAGGTCCATGACCGGTTGTGCAGCAGTCATATACCATGATCTGCTATGTCAAGAAAGGCAAATAAATTCAAACATGTCATAATACATTGTGTGTTTTGTACAAAAGCAAAACTGTGCTTTGTACAAAAGCAAAACTTGCAAGCTGTTTTTTACTAAGGAAAAGGAAAATTCAGTTTGATGTGACGTTATGCCCCCTTTCACCAGAGGACATAGCAACTGAACTGTTTGGTCCCAGTCACAGATTATTTCAACTGGATGATAGGAGCAGGGGTTCAGTTACGTGAGGTAGCTTTTGTAATGTGAAATCTATCCTTCAAGTGGCCAAACTTGCAGTGCACATGAGGTAAAGGGTTGTGTAAGAGTCACCTGTACTGTCTGAGAAGTCATTTAGCTTTAAACAGTTACTATCAAAGTGTTGTTGTTGCTCCTTAAAGGACGAATATGCGATTTTACAGTCAAGTAAAATAACTCTGTGAGTCATGACTGTCTACAATGAGTGTGACACCTGAGTCCCACTGTCTGTAATGTTGTCCGAGCCCTATCTACAGCGTGTTTACATGGACGGGAAGGCCGGCTGGCTCATCCCCTTACGTAGAAAAGTTGTTAAATTGAGGGACTAGAGAAAAAAATCAATCAATCAATCTTTATTTGTATAGCGTCAGCTCATAACAAGTGTTATCTCGAGAGCACAATAACTTCAGTCTTCTCTGAGTTAAGTAGCAAGAAATTTCTGGTCATCCAGGTCCTAACGTCCTTAAGGTACTGTAATTCACATTCTACTTTTGGGTCTGTGAAGCGTTAACCTTATATGGGTGAAGCACCTAAGTAGTAGCAGATCTATAAATGGATAGGAGCCAACTATATGTTGTCAGCAACTGTTTGCTAGACAGAGAGTCTACATCTGTTACGTATACAAATCAGTGACATGTCATCTTTATTGTTTTATAGTGATGTACCCAAATGGAAAGGAATTTGTGGGCTGTACCTTCTAGCAGAATATAAGCAACACTGTGTGATGAAGACTTTGCCATTTTGCCATTTTGCCCATGATGGCCACTTTGTCAATGATTGTCAATGATTGTGAGATCTTGGTCAGCATGGGTCAGCGATGGTCAGCACTTTGTCAGTCAAGTGATTTGGAAGCATGCTTGTTTGATGAAGTTGTCTGACCTCGGCCGATTAAATGGTGTTATAATCTCCAGTCTGTTTCACGATTTCTTCATTGGATTTATACATTAGAAACAAACCCCACCTAACAGGTACATTTCTAGTTTACATAACTGACTGGTGCCATCAGGCTTCATTGACATGTAAAGCTGAGTATCATCTGCATAACAATGAAACTGTATGGAGTGTTTCCTCATAATATTTCCCAGAGGAAGCATATATAATGTAAAGACAATTGGTCCAAGTACTGAACCTTGTGGCACTCCATGGCTAACTTTGGTGTACGTAGAGGACTTATCATTAACATGTACTGAGATCGAACTGATAAATAGGATTCAAACCAACTTAAAGCAGTCCCTGTAATTCCAAGTAAATGTTCTAGTCTGTGTAATAGGATCTGATGGTCAATAGTGTCAAAAGCAGCACTAAGATCTAACAAGACGAGCACAGAGAGAAGTCCCCTGTCTGAAGCTAGAAGTAGATCATTTGTAACTTTAACTAGTACAGTCTCAGTGCTATGTGCTAAATCCTGAATGAAACTCCTTAAATAAACTGTTGTCATGGAGAAAGTCACACAGCTGATTAGCTACCACTTTCTCCAGGATCTTTGAGATAAAAGGAAGGTTGGACATAGGCCTATAGTTCCTGGATCTAGAGTAGGTTTTTTGAGTAGAGGTTTGATTACCGCTACTTTAAATGACTGTGGTACTGAAGCTACAGACCTATTACATATCAGTGGGTAGTAGAGGCCCCTGCGACATTCATATGCCGCTGACGAAGCAGGGGTTTAAGTGTCTTGCCCAAGGACACATCAGACATGTTGTTGCAGGAGCCGGGGATCGAACCCCCAACCCTCTGGTTGAGAGATGATTGACTCTACCACTGAGCCACAGCTGCCCACGAACAACATCCGATCATAGAATTCTTCATTTCACAGTCTCATCAGTGCTCTTGATACTCAAAAGTGATGATTTTTAAGTTGTTAGTCACCTTCATCTTCAACTTTGTTCGTCCGTGAAGGGCGATTTAGTTTTGCTGCAAAGCAACACACAACAGATTGTTGATAATATTCCTTCTTTTAAGACAAACAACTTAGATTCAGTTAGACTGTAAACAGGTTGTGGTCACAGGGAGGCTAACAGCTCCAAAATATGTCTTTGGTACAAGTCTCAACACAACTGTTGTGTATTTACTTTTGTAATGGTTTATAATGACATTCTGACTGCAGTCATATACCTAAAGTTGTTTTCTGTCTTCTTCTCTAGGTCACATCCGGGACCCCAACAACCAGATGCAGGTTGTGAAAAACTTGCGCATTTGTGTCAACAATGTGGCAACGAGTCCAAACACAGCATCATCTGCTCTCAGCCCCGCACAGCGACGGATGCTCAATGAAGTGGTGTTATCTTGCCAGCCACAAGAGGGTGCTGTGTCCCATGTGATAACAGCAGGAGACTATAACCTCAACTTTAGTGGTAAGGTCGAGAGATTTATAAGGTCGATATGCATTTGTAGACTTCCATTCATCCATCCATTCATGGATAGATATAGAAATGTATTTATTGTTATACAGATATATAGATACATATGCAGTCAAGATGTTGAAGCTCCAATATCCAAAATCCAAAGTGCTAAGGACATTAAGGCAGCACTCACACTGCTCCAGGACTAACATGGCCTGGGCACGGTTACCTTTTGTACATAACGTCCTAATACAACACATCAATGGATTTATGTAATTATGAAGCCTGCTTAGTTTACAAGACAGGCGGACTCAAAAATAAAAGGGATGCACTGTCAGCATCTGCACTTCGGAGAACAACACAGAGAACATGAGCGCTACTTTACTGACTTTGTGTCTTATTCTGAGTCATGTTAGTCAGATACAGACAGAACACTGTGGGATTTCTCCATAATAAAGTCCATGTTGTGTACCCGTGCTGGCCCTCGTGCTAGACCCTCGTGCATTAACTGTACCGTCCTGAAGCTCACCTCTTCCAAGCCAGTCAGGGCTGAGGAAGTGTACGGATCGGAGCACTCAGGGCGCGGTCACACTGGCAATTGTGCTGGAAATTTCTGTCAACAATGCAAAAGAAAGGATCATGAGTCAATCAGTCTTTGTTTAGTTTAATTCTTCTTGCAAGTAGAAGGAACAAAGCTTCAGAGTGTCAATACAGTCTGAAGGAAAGCTCGAAGTAATCACAATATGCTTGGGGTTATATACACATGCTTCACAGAAAAACCCTCATGCCTATATAAGGATTGCAGATACAGGTACAATCAAATATCAAATACATTTTGTCATACATTTCAACACGTCGCACAACAGTAATGTCAAGGAAACTTCAAGTCTGAGTATCTTTGATATTTAGCTATTTGTGAGAAACCTTCATCCTTGGGTAAAGATAAAACAAGAATATTACGTATTAAATTATCGTAGCATTTCTCAAGCGAGCTGTAAGTAAAATGTGTCCTCGACAGTAAACAGAATTTTTCAATTACACAATCCGTACCGTGCCTTACACAAGCACGATTGGCCCCCCGCTGTGCGATTCCCCCCGAAGTCACACTGCACCAGGACTAACTGTGCCTAAGCACGGTAACCTCTTGTACATAACATTGTAATACAGCACATGCATTATGGCTTTACGTGATCAAGAAGCGTGCTCAGTTTACAAACAGGCGGACTCGAGAAAAAAAAAAAAAGCGATGCACAGTCGAGTCCGCGTCTGCACATCGGAGAACAACACAGAGAACATGACAGCTACTTTGTGTCTTATATTATGTCATGTTAGTCAGATACAGACATGAAGCTCTGGATTTCTCTATAATGAAGGCTGTCAGCATTGTGTACCCGCGTGCTTGTGCTTGTGCATGAAGTTTACCGTGCTGAAGAAAATAGAACGTATGAGTGCTGCCAGCATTGCTGCAGAGGTTGAAGGGGTGGGGGGTCAGCCTGTCAGTGCTCAGACCATACGCTGCACACTGCATCAAATTGGTCTGCATGGCTGTCGTCCCAGAAGGAAGTCTCTTCTAAAGATGATGCACAAGAAAGCCCGCAAACAGTTTTCTGAAGACAAGCAGACTAAGGACATGGACTACTGAAACAATCTCCTGTTGTCTGATGAGACCAAGATAAACTTATTTGGTTCAGATGGTGCCAAGTGTTTGTGGCGGCAACCAGGTGAGGAGTACAAAGACAAGTATGTCTTGCCTACAGTCAAGCATGGTGGTGAGAGTGTCATGGTCTGAGGCTGCATGAGTGCTGCCGGCACTGGGGAGCTACAGTTCATTGAGGCAACCATGAATGCCAACATGTACTGTGACATACTGAAGCAGAACATGATCCCCTCCCTTCAGAAACTGGGCCGCAGGGCAGTATTCCAACATGATAACGACCCCAAATAGACCTCCAAGACGACGACTGCCTTGCTAAAGAAGCCGAGGGTAAAGGTGATGGACTGGCCAAGCATGTCTCCAGACCTAAACCCTATTGAGCATCTGTGGGGCGTCCTCAAACGGAAGGTGGAGGAGCGCAAGGTCTCTAACATCCACCAGCTCTGTGATGTCGCCATGGAGGAGTGGAAGAGGATTCCAGTGGCAACCTGTGAAGCTCTGGTGAACTCCATGCCCAAGAGGGTTAAGGCAGTGCTGGAAAATAATGGTGGCCACACAAAATAATTACACTTTGGGCCCAATTTGGACATTTTCACTTAGGGGTGTACTCACTTTTGTTGCCAGTGGTTTAGACATTAATGGCTGTGTGTTGAGTTATTTTGAGGGGACAGTAAATTTACACTGTTATACAAGCTGTACACTGACTACTTTACATTGTAGCAAATTGTCATTTCTTCATTGTTGTCCCATGAAAAAATATAATAAAGTATTTGCAGAAATGTGAGGGGTGTACTCACTTTTGTGAGACACTGTATGTCTTCAAACACAGCTCAGACTGCAACTTAGTGTGCTTGTCTAAGTTTGCAGCGACGGACAACAGCAGACTGTTACGTTACTGACAGGAACATTTCTCATTGTTGTCACCTGTAACTAGACGGTTATCGGTATCAGGTCCGATATTAAAGTAATTAACGTATTGGATATCAGACTGACGGTGCTGATCCACGTCACAGATCAAGAAGGATGGTAGTGCACTTTAAACATTCTCACTTCACTCAGTCGCGCCTCGAAGACATTCAGACTGAACTGTAAGAAGTGTCCACTCAATGACAACGTTCAGACGAGATGTAACTGCTCCTTCTATAAGATCAACAGTATAATTCTTACTCTTCAGTAAGGGTTTTCTTCATCTTTGTGTAGTTTCACACATACTACCACCAACAACAACAATAACAATATTAGTTGTGATATAAAACTTGTCTTTTATATCAGTTTATATAAACTTGTAACATTTGTATGGACACATGTGTATGGTAAGTGGATTGGTGCCTCTCCAGCTGATAGCTGCATGTTAAATACAGACTGGGTGAGAGGAAACGGAGAAATGTCATGTTTGAAACAAAGTAACCATACACAATGAAATATCAACACTTCACAACATGTTTCTGCGTGACGCCCTCAGAAACGCTGGGCATAGATATATGGGTATAGATATATTTCCAGAGACTGAATTGATCTCCTATATGTTCAGGGAATGATCTGCAGGTCACATGCCCTACAGTAAATGTGTGGCGTGAGCTGATCGGATCACGTTTCCACTGTGACCTATTTGGAGTTATTTTCTACAAACTATAAACACTGCCATTTTATCTATTCATTACTTCAACTTAATTACCTTTTGTGTTTTTTTCTACTTGCATGGATAAATCTTAGGTAAGAGCATTCTTGAACTCGACCCAGTAACACAACCATGACCAGTCTCTCTAAGGGAAACAGTCCTATAGTCCTTTTTATTCTTTAAAGGTATAATATGCAACATTCTAAACGTAAGTCATAAATCAGAAATACCCTATGGCAAATGATCTTGGAGTAATGACTTCCTACAAAAAGAGTCCTACAATATTTGGCGCATGAAGAGGGGAGTGCTGAGGGAGAGAGGAGGTACCACCAACAACAAGTTTTGTTTTGGTCTTAGAGGCTGGTGCGACATCTACTAGACATCTCCTCTTAGTTGCATATTATACCTTTAAATAAGTCAAATATCAAAATCAGAGATCAAAAAGAATGAAGTATACAGAGAGACTAGTTATGGGTGTCTATTGTTGTTCCTTCCCTTCTTGCCTTACTGTGCCTTAATGTCCTGTAGTGCGATCTTACTTGCCTCTGTCAGGAAATACTCTGAATTTTACCTAGAACATTAGACAAGAATAAAAGCTACTGGCTTTGCACTACATTAAGATATTACTTTTTGTTCTGTTTTTTCATACTGCACAGTGTTTCCCCTAGGTTTACAGCGTTGGGGGGGGGTGGGGACACACGCTGACACAAACACTTGAAGGAATCTTGGTGTTCATGTGTTACTTTTAATGATAGCTGTCCTTTTCTATCGGAAAGGTATCCTTAAATGACTTCTTTCCCTGATTACGGACTCTATCCACTATCATATCGCTATAATAAATGCACAAATAATAATGGTAGGGGAAACACTGCTGCATACTAAATTCAAACTGAGTTGTAAATTACTACAATGACCTGTAGTCTTAGGCCCCATGTCCACCTTTCTTGTAGTTAAATTGAAAATGATAATAGACAGCCACAATCAGAGAGATTCGTCTCACCAGCCGCACAGAGGCCGACCGATATTGAATCGTCCAAAAAAAAAGGCAGACGGGGGCCAATGGGTAGCCCACCGATTTCCTTGGTGTGTCAGGGCCTTAACAATGACAGAGTGTGCATTTCTTGTAGTTAAACTGAAATAGCCTGATATTGTCCATCTGTGTCAATCCTCTAAGAAACTTCTTCCTTGTCCACTTTGACCTTCTGTAAATTCTTACTGTATACCATGGAGACCTTGAAGAAAAAGGGGTTTTGCTAACATCACTCCTGGTTCTCTGCTCCTACTTATTAGATCACTCTGTAAAAGCTAGCAACCCTTGGTACAGTGCCTGGAGAGAAACACTGTGGGAACTCAGCAACTCAAAGCACTATACAGGTATCATTGTCTGTTGGTTGGTATGTAGGTTATCTAATGTCCCCTTAGCTCTGCTGCACTAACCTTGCTCCACTCCCTCTAGTTTGCATTAGCTGCCCCAACTTGTTGCCCTTCTATGCCAAAAGTGGTGGATTCTTTTTGTAAGATTGCTAGTAGCATGATGTTACAACTCTGTGTTTTTGACCTGTTGGAAAGTGAGTCAACAAAGCAAAGTATACATTCACATTTTCAGTATATAAACTAGTATTAGGGATACACGGTGGTGCAGTGGTTAGCGCTGTTGCCTCACAGCGGGGACGTTCCTGTGGACAGGAGCCTCTCTGTGTGGAGTTTGTATGTTCTCCCTGTTCATATGTGGGTTCTCTCCTGGTTCTCTGTCTTCCTCCCACAGTCCAAAGACATGCTCGTTAGGTTAACTGCTGACTCTAAATTGTTCATAGGTTTGAATGTGAGTGTGGCTGGTTGTCTGTCTCTGTATGTCAGCCCTGTGATTGACAGGCAAATAGTCCAGGGTGTACCTCGCCTCGGGGGGAGGGGGTTCTGTGTCTTGCTCAAGGGCACCTCGGCAGTGCTCAGAAAGTGAACTGGCACCTCTCCAGCTACCAGACCAATTTCCAGACTTTAACCGGCGACCCTCCAGTTCCCAACCCAAGTCCCTGCCGGCTGAGCTACTGATTTTACACACAAACCTCCACCCATACGCACAATTCATTTTTAGTAGTGGTACATTCCAAATGATTTTACTCTCAGATACTGTGGCATTGAACTGATTAAACAGTTGTGGTTGAGATGTCAATTCTCTGTCAAAGGCATTTTAGATTTACACTCTGGACACTGACTTCAAAGGGGTTAAAAGAAGAGTTTGATTTGAGGCTCTTTCTATGACGATTGTGTTGAGTCTCATCTGCAGCTCTATACCCTTCCATGTGGATGTGTTGAATCCACATGGAAGGGTATAGAGCTGCAGATGAGACTCAACACAATCGTCTGTTTTATAAATGACATCAGGCAGGCCATAATAAAAACAGCGTTTAATCTTTTCTATTATTGTTGTGTTTGCTCAGTAAACATGGGAAAGCTACCAAACATATACGACTGCTGAGATATTGATAACTGAATGTGTGTGTATATGTTTTGGTCTTCATTCTTTTGGATTTACACTGATATAAAACGTATTCATGGAATATGTAATGACTCACAGACTAGACAGGGACTACAGTCACATGTTGTAAGGGATCACAGCTGAGCAGAAAGTGGTACGAACTACATGTGGTTGATATTGAATAATAATGCTGATCTTTCTTCCTTCAGTTACTCAAAAAACAGCCCTCTAAAGACCTTTGCTGAGTAGTATTAGTGCATAATATGATATAAAACACAATATCTGCCGTCATATCTGTAAGGAAATCCTTGTGATTATCAGTCTCTAGTGAGGACTACAGATACAATTATTAGATTTTATACTAAAATCATAAATTCTAATTTTTGATTTGAATAACTTTCCTAAAATACTGGCTACTTTTGTTTGATGAATATCTAATTTTATTTTCTTTTTTTCTAGCAACCACACCCTGGTTTGAAACCTACAGGGAGAACTTCCTGCAGTCTATGCCTGCCTCTGAACACGAGTTCCTCAATCACTACCTTGCCTGTATCCTTTGAACAGAACAAAAAACTGGCCACTGAAAAGTCATGAAAAGTAATTAATAAAAAAGATTTCACAGTGTCCTGGGGCCAGATTCACAAACATTTCTTAAGATGAAACTGAGGGAAGATTCTTAATAAAGAAGTTAGGAAGTTCTTTGGAATGTTCTTACATATAATTCCTGATTATTTTCTTAAGAACGTCTTTATTTTGGCACTTCTGAACTTCTCAGATGCTATAGGGCAGGCTCTTATGCCTACAGTATGGCTATATACAGTTCATTGGGTGTAGCATCATTGACTAAAGGTTATTTAACTATTAAAATAAGCACTTTTGTCAACATTATTGCAGTTACTTAAATAAATAACCGAGTAAAGGAAAATATTTTAATATTAGTTAGTTCCTTTGGATAATGGAAAATGAGTGTAAAATGAACTGTCTTATGTGCTAGCTTATGTTCAGGAGAACCAGAGACATGAGACTTAAACCGAAAACAATGGTGACTTGCTAAGGTTATTAATAAGTTGACAAATTTAGTCAAACTGAAAATCCTAATGGCTTTTATAAAATGTGTTTAAATGAATGAATTTTGTCTGAAGAAGACATTGTTTTTCTGAAAGAGGACATATTACCCGCCTTTTCAAACAGTCCCCTATGGTCTAAATGAAACATCTGTGCTGTGCTTTGTTCAAAATATAACATGAATCAAGCACCAGAGGAGGTTTGTGACCCTGTATAAACCAGCTCTCTCAGAACGCTCCGTTTTGGTGTGTGTCTCTTTAAATGAAATGAGCCCCCCCCCCCCAAGTTTTCCCCGTAGACATCACTCCTTCACTAGCAAGAATAAAAATGGCCGACCTGCATTAAAGTTTAGCTCTAGGCTGGGGGTGGAGATACCAGGGGAGGGGAGGGGATTTTTTTTTATTACCAGAATCCCACTGTGACATCACAAGGAGAGCACATTTGAAACAGAGCATTTTTCTCTGTGTTGTAAGACTTATGTAGACCACAAACAAAGGACTGGATGGGTTTATTTCACATTTTGTGGGTCAGTAGACACTCAGGTTATACAAATATATGTACAAAAAACACTGTAGAAGTGGATTTTTCATAATAATGTTTTGTGAATGCGGCCCCTGGTTCAGTCGTAGCATCAGTTATGTCTTAGTCTCTGGGAAAAATAGTGTTGAGTGAGTGTATGCTAATGACCACAGAAGAGCCCAACACGCCGACTGCTAGAAGACTATGAGGAAGAAGGGGAGTGTGTTGACATACAGCATCACTAGTGGTGAGGTGGTCATTATCATCCTCACTGGACATTTTATAGAATTGTTTATCAGTCTAGGTGAAAACAGCTTGTTGTTCCCATAGGCGCTCTGGGCTCAGTGTATCTGTTCTTCATTAGTGGATCTAATCTCCTGTTGTTTCCTTGACTAACGGTCCTGTCAGGCCTATTGGTTGTGTCCTCCACAGAGTCAGTCCCTGTGGAGCAATTCCTCAAGCTCTCTCAGGAGCAGCACAGGATTCAGCACAGTGGAGAATATACGAACCCGAGGTGGTTTATTCCCAACACGCTCAAGTACTACGTCTTACTGCATGACATGAACGAGGGGGATGAACAGAGGTAACAAAGTTTCTTTACAGATGCATTTATAGAGAATTGCAGATGTGGTAGTTTGTGTTGTAGTATACTAAATAGCTTTGCACTATTTAGGATTGTGTAACATAATAATCATTTTCTTAGCTGACATAGTCCATGTTATACCATTTCACTGGCAAACAACTTCAAATGACACAACTTCTGGTTTGGAGATTGTTGTCCTTTTGTACTTAAACACAATTATTAAAACTTACTCAATGTATCAGATAAAATCAGATCAGATAAAAGATGCAGAGCTAATGTTAAAATGGGTCATACTTTGTATTGGTTTTGTTTTAGTAATAGTAAGTGTTCTCTCCTCCACTCCAGGGCAGAAACTGTGTATGAGGATATGAAACAGAGGTACGGTTCTCAGGGCTGCTACCTTTTGAAAATGAACTCTCGTACATTCTCAGATGAAGTAGATGAACAGATTCCAGACCCCTGGAGTCAATATCTTCACAGGAGTAATCTGCAAAACCAGGTACTTTACTGCACCTTCCCCTGTGTGCTCGGTGGTCTGCCTTGCAGCGCTCGCCTACTATCATATTAAAATACACTGGAAATTAAAGCAAGTTAAAGTACCTCACAAAACTGCAACATCCATGCTGTAGAGTTATGATGAACTTGTTTCTTTCTCCCAAAGCCTTGGGAACATTGAAACAATGTCCTTCATCAAAAGGATGAGCTAATTAAACACACTGTAATCAGCCTAAACATTAGTGCTTTCACGGTAAGTGAAGGTGTATCCAGCTTGAATCTGTCACAGCAGGATTGGTCACTTTTCAGGAGAGAAGATTGCTTGAATAGGTATTTTAGAGAGATGGATAAAAATGTCAGCCACCAATGGCAACACACAGCAACCTCTCTCTTTGATTTTAGGAAAAATAAATCTGACAATTAAGTGTTTGCTTGAATTTACACCACTGTTGAAATGATCAACTCCTTTAAGTTCTTCATCAAGATCACTGACTCCTTCTCCTGGTCCTTGAACATAGAAGAGGTAGTCAAACTGGTACAACAGGTGTCTCAAGGAAAACTGCAAGTCCACAAGAACTCAATCTATCATTTTCTGCAGAGCATCTATTGAAAGCATTCTTACAGGGAGAATACTAATGGAACAGTAGCTTAAACTTATAAAAAGGTCTGTAAAAAATGCTTAAAAAATCATTGGATCACTGCTCTGGCTGGTACAGAACATTTACACCACCCACTGCAAGAGAAAGGCATTACACATCTCACAAGACTCCAGCCACCTGGCACACCGTCTGTTTACTTTCTCCAGAAAAACCTTGACAGTGCATCAGAGCTCGAACCACCAGGCATTCAGACTACTAAACATTAGCACTTGGCGTATGTGTGTCTCTGTAGCGAGAATAAAAATGGCGGACCTGCGTTAAAGTTTAGTACTAGGCTGGGGGTGGAGTCTATGGGTGGAGATATCAGGGGAGGGGAGGGGATTTTTTTTTTTACCAGAATCCCACTGTGACATCACAAGGAAAGCAAATTTGAAACAGCAATTTTCTCTGTGTTGTAAGACTTATGTAGACCACAAACAAAGGACTGGATGGGTTTATTTCACATTTTGTGGGTCAGCAGACACTCAGGTTACCCAAATATATGTTCAGAAACACTGTAGAAGTGGATTTTTCATAATATGTCCTCTTTAATGTATATGACAAATAAACTGAATTGAACTGAATCCACCAGGGGAATTGGTCTGATATGCCATCAGTAAAAGCTGAGCATGTAGTAACCTCTTATTCCTTTTTTACAGGACATTCTTGATGATTTAGCTCCAAGTGTCAACAATGCTGATTGTGAGAATGACATCAGCACAGCTGAAGTGGACTGCCATCAAACAACAGACAAAGGTCAGTCAGCTGAGAGTTATGTGTCTGCAGCACATTACAATCTGAAAGGATGCAATTAACTCACTAAACATTACTTCCAGGGATATAGTAATTAATTTGAGCATTCACCCTTCGGAGTGCTCTGCCTTTTTTGTGCGGCCGCTCCGAGCACTCAAGTTTAAAATCTTTCAACTTTTCAGAAAGACTCTGTTGACGTCACCGGCGTTCTTTTCTAAATTTTTGATATTCTCTGTAGTTTTGCCGCTTATTGATCATTTCTTGTACCTACATCCTCTTTGCTCCGTGTCTGATCTGGAAATAAACAACCTCAAATATAAATCATGCAATAAAAAGTAACAGAGCAGTGTCGGTCACACAGCGGGCGTTGTCAACAGACTGTTGTCATGGAGACAGGACGGACCTGCAGCGCTTTTCTTCTCAGCGTACTAACGCTAGTACACTAGTTGAACTTTTGCAACCATTTGGAAAGTCATTTGAGCATTTATTTGATATCCCTGATATCAGTCTAACGTTTGCTGCAGTTTCCTGTATACAATATATACAGTACAAATACAGTATATTATCAACGAGAACAATCTACTTATATTAAACCTGAGAAAAAAACACAACATTTAACACAGCCATGAATGAACTTAGTTTGCAACACTGTTTCCTCTCAGATGGGGTACCCAACAGTCTGGAAAGCCATCCTCTGCAGCTTGACACAGTCAGCACCTCTGGGAGCCTCTACACCCTCGGTGCTGTAAACACTGACCCAAAGACAGGTGCAAGAGATCCAGAAAGTCTGCCAGGGATATCGGGAAGCCATGGGGTGTGCCTGACCTTGAATGACCATGACCACATCAGACAATTTCTCCAAGAGTTCACCTTCAGAGGCCTGCTGCCACACATAGAGAAGAACATCAGACAGCTCAATGACCAGGTAAAACTGCAAGTTGTTCGATTTCAACCTAAAATTATCCATGGAGAGAGACATAGAATAACAAAAGGAATCTTGAAAGCTTATATCAAACTTCCAAAACTAAAGCTGATTGAACTGATTACATCAACCTGAAGTTTGATGTACAGTGACATTGAGAAATGAGTTGTAGATTTTACTGTATGTGGTCAATTAGGATTTGACACTTTTGAATACATATCAGTTTTTTGTATTGCTTGTTTACAAAGTTGCTGATAGAGCTCAGAGCTAGCCTTATCTTGATAGATAAAAAGTCATGAATCCGAGGTCTCCTTATTTTTGCTGGTTGTTAGTAGTTAGGATCAGGGAATATTAATTTTCTACCGTTGTGAAAGTTCCCTGGAGAGTTGGGCCAGCCTGGCAGTGTGACCTCGGCTCAAAGGGATGGAATCGGAAACTACAGACAGATGGCCACAGACATTTGCAGATCTCAAGCCAGCAGGATAGTAGCAAAAGTCACAAATGAAGAGACAGGCAATAATGAGGCCAGGCGAGGCATGCGGAAAATTTCACTGAAGAAAAGTATTTTTTTCTGCTCTCGAAGCTGAAATTTAAATTCATAAACATGCTATTTACATGCTCAATGTTATGCTTATATGAAAGAATATTAAGGATTAATGTACATTAACAAAGTGGTGTAAGTATTAAGGGATTCCTTCACACCTTCACAAATATGAGTGTGCATATTAATGTTAGTTTTCACATTGCATCAGTCATTTCCATTAGCTTATGAGAACAACCCTACAGTAGCTGTTTGATGATTAACTCAGCTGGACTGTTGCTGTTTAACTAGATTGTTCAAATATATGATCTGTCTCTCTGCCCACAGTTGGTCTCCAGGAAAGGTCTGAGTCGGTCTCTGTTCACTGCCACCAAGAAGTGGTTTGGCGGGGGCAAAGTTCCAGAGAAGAGCATCAGTGAACCAAAGAGCACGTGTGGCCTCCTGTAAGCCTTCTTACATCTTAACCCATTCTGACTCGAGACTTAAAAATGGCTTCTTTTTATTTATACACATCATAAACACTATACATTTTTGTTGGTTTGACCTCTTACATTTGTAATATTAGATATCCTCCAGAAGCCCCAGAGCTGCAGATCAGGAAGATGGCCGACCTATGCTTTCTGGTTCAGCATTATGAGTTGGCTTACAACTGTTACCACACTGCCAAGAAAGACTTCTTGTCAGACCAGGCCATGCTGTATGCTGCAGGAGCATTGGTGAGAATCACACACAAGCATCTTTCTATATTTCCCCATGAGGACTATGTTTAAATAATATACACTTATCATTAAGTTGCATTTAGGTACCCCTGGTCTCAAGCTATCCTTCTTAACAGGGAATTCAACTTCAGATTAATTCAGTGCAGCATGACAGAAGCAACTTCCAGTTAGTGTTTTCATTTTCTCCGTTTATTGATGCTGTGGAGCTGCACGGTGGTCCAGTTGTTAGTACTGTTGCCTCACAGCGAGGAGGTTCCTGGTTTGAATGCCCGTCTGACATGAGTCTCTCTGTGAGGAGGTTCCTGGTTTGAATCCCCGTCTGACATGAGTCTCTCTGTGAGGAGGTTCCTGGTTTGAATCCCCGTCTGACATGAGTCTCTCTGTGAGGAGATTCCTGGTTTGAATCCCCGTCTGACATGAGTCTCTCTGTGAGGAGGTTCCTGGCTTGAATCCCCATCCTTCAGGAGTCTCTCTGTGAGGAGGTTCCTGGTTTGAATCCCCATCCTTCAGGAGTCTCTCTGTGAGGAGGTTCGTGGTTTGAATCCCCGTCTGACATGAGTCTCTCTGTGAGGAGGTTCCTGGTTTGAATCCCCGTCTGACATGAGTCTCTCTGTGAGGAGGTTCCTGGTTTGAATCCCCGTCTGACATGAGTCTCTCTGTGAGGAGGTTCCTGGTTTGAATCCCCGTCCGTCCGGAGTCTCTCTGTGTGGAGGTTCCTGGTTTGAATCCCCGTCCGTCAGGAGCCTCTCTGTGAGGAGGTTCCTGGTTTGAATCCCCGTCTGACAGGAGCCTCTCTGTGTGGAGTCTGCATGTTCTCCTCGTGTATGTGTGGGTTCTCTCCTGGTACTCCGTCTTCCTCCCACAGTCCAAAGACATGCTCGTTAGGTTAACTGCTGACTCTAAATTGTCTGTAGGTGTGAATGTGAGTGTGTCTGGTTGTCTGTCTCTTTATTTCAGCCCTGTGATTGGCTGGTGATCAGTCCAGGGTGTAACCCCACCTCTCTGGACCCTATACTTTCATGATAACTATTTGTCCTCATGTTCTTTGCATTCATTCCTCCTAACTCGGTAGGAAATGGCTGCAGTGTCAGCGTTTCTGCAGGCTGGAGCTCCTCGACCGTACCCGGCACACTACATGGATACTGCGATACAGACGTACAGAGATGTCTGCAAGTATGAACTAACTGCCTTTTTATGTCTTCACATTTTATTTAAAATCAGTATAATGGTATCTGGTTATTCTGTTTTTGCAATGTTACATATAGTTTCATATTATCCTGATATATCTGTGTATGTTAAATGGTATACTGTGTGTTCACTTCTTGAGAATATGAGTAGAGGTCTATGGTGAATCTCATTGTTTTGGATTCATAAATCCCATCCGACAATTTGCAAACTATTGATCACAATTGAAACAATCCATGTTGTTTCTAGGTAATAACTAATCACTTACTTCATTGCAAGATAATTTACACTCCTGATTTTGAGGCTGCCTCTAGTTCTGCATCCTTATTCCGTACAAAACTGTCTAATGGTGCTAATCTTTTGGTAAAACCTAATGCTAGTTTACTTGTCTCAAATTTTACAAAAACGCTTGGGAAGCTTACCAACCCCTCCTCACTATGATGTTGCCTTTTGAGGAGACTCAACATTGCACAATGTGTCTCAAATTTTGTTTAATTGAAGTGGTTTTTGTCAAATTAATTGGCTTTCAACTTGTAATTTAACAACTCTATCACACCGACTGTCAAAGTAATACCTGTGTAATAGTTAAAGGCAGGGTTGGTCATTTCCTCTAGATCCACTTTTCAAGATTTTGGTTGAAATTGTCTTTAGGTCCTGACAGAAATTATAACTCATGTTCTCTGAAAAAGAAACAAAGAAAATCTGTCATCTGTATCAGTCTGTAAAAACTTCAACCAATATCTGCCACGAGGTACCAATCTGATGAACCAATCAGACGCCTCCCTGCTCGTTCTCTACCTCTTGCATGCTCTAGCCCACACTCAAAGCATGAGCTGATGACGGAGTTTATACTGTGAGTTTATCGTTGTCCATTGTTAGTAGTAAAATTATGGAAGCGATTAGTGATCAAAATTCAAATGATAAAGCTAATTTGAAAATTCAAATGCATTAACAGAAATGCTTTTTAATAATGAGTGTATTATTTGACTCAAATAAAATGATGATTAATTTATCTAATTTGAATTTTAGTTTTCAACTTCAAAAATGCACATTCTTTGACTAAATTAAAATGAAGAAGAAAATGACATTTGCTTTATCATTTTCAAAAAATGCCCCGCTAAATTTCTACCATAATTCAAATGAAAAAGCTAATTTTAAAATGAAAATATAGTAAAAGAAACACGTTTTAAATTTCACGATCTGAGTGTTTTCTTTCAGCGCACACTGAACTTTCAGCAAGCATGACGCAGCAGCTTTATGACCCAAGCTGCCAAGTCTCATGCATGACACCATGCCCACTATCTCTGACCGTGAGAGTCACTCAGCATCTGCATGCCATGAAATTCACACAGACGTGTCCTAAAACCGGTTTATTGATAGATTATAGATCACTCTCTTCTCTGCTTAACTTAATTACATTAAAAAAGATTATCGATTGAATTTTCTGTTTCAAATAATCTCTCCAGCTCTGTACACAAAGTTTCAATGTCTCATCCTCTGTGCGTAATGGCACACACTCTCCCTCTCAACCGACTGCATGAGCTCTCTCTCCCTTTCAGAGATTGTATTGTAGTTATTAAAAGAATAATCAACTACAACGCCAAAATTGAATAAAAATCAGGGCAACAACTAGTTTGGAGCTTGTACCAGCGTTAAAGATTCACCCCGCCACCCATCGTACTGCGCGTTCTGCTCGCTCGCCTCAGACTGTAAAAATTATGTTTGCCTGCCTGGGAGCTGAAGTCTGACGTCACTTTCCTGCGTCGTCCACTTTGCCATTTCGTTTTCGAGTTGGTTTGAATTACGATCACTTTTTAGCACTACAAGTTTCAAAACGAAAAGCCAAAGACCTTTTCGTTTTCATTTGAATTATGTCATACAATATGCATACATAGAGAGTAAAAGTATAATGCAAACAAATAAAACGTGTTTCTGTTACTGTATTTTCATTTTAAAATTAGCTTTTTCATTTGAATTATGATACAAATTTAGCGGGGCATTTTAAAAAAATGATAAAGCAAATGTCATTTTCTTCTTCATTTTAATTTAGTCAAAGAATGTGCATTTTTGAAGTTGAAAACTAAAATTCAAATTAGATAAATTAATCATAATTTTATTTTTGAGTCAAATAATACACTCATTCTGAAAATTAAAAAGCATTTCTGTTAATTCATTTGAATTTTCAAATTAGCTTTATCATTTGAATTTTGATCACTAATCGCTTCCATATAAAATAGTCAATTTTTTTTAAATGATAAAGTTGAGTGTTGAGAATGAGACAACGTAGCGGCTCTTGTCCATGTAAGTGAGGGGGCGTGGCTTTAGAGGGAGCACAGAGGGGAGGGGGGGTGTGTAGACGGAGCACTGAGGGAATGCTACTTTCAGAATCATGCTAGTTTTCCAAAAATGACCAACCCTGCCTTTAATATTCTCCTTTAACTTCCATCATCCTTTCAGAGATTTGTTCTGTGTGAAGTGTAGTTTTGATTCTTTTTCTTCTGTTCTCTGTAGAAACATGGTGCTTGCTGAGCGCTGTGCTTTACTCAGTGCTGAAATCTTGAAGAGTCAGAGCAAATACTCAGAGGCTGCAACTCTTCTCATTAAGATGACTAGCGAGGTGAGGAAACATGCTTAGGGGCAGAAGCTCAGTCCGTAGGGACTTGGAGGGTTGCCGGTTCAAGTCTCGGTATGGACCAAAAATATGGACGTTGTTCTGGTAGCTGTGCCAGGGCACTTCCTGAGCACTGCTGGGGTGCCCTTGAGCAATGTGTAGCAGCTCCACTAATGCATGTCCACAGGTCCTGTTTGTGTATGTGTGATAATGAGATAATGGAATTATGCACTGCTAGACAATCAAAAATTACTTCAACCTTCACTTGGGAATGACATTTGTGAAATTTTGAACTACGTATTGGATTGAAAAATCTTTATTGTCCTCGAGGGGCAATTTGGTTTGCAACAGAGGTCCAAACAGGCAACACATATCCTAAAAAACAGCACAAAGACATAAATACTTAACTACCATGGATATCATCATGATGGACGTGAGTGAGATAAGGGACTAACAGTACATAGTTAAGTGTACAGGCAACAATGCCTACAGATTATTTAGAAACCCAACAGCTGATGGAACAAACGACCTCAGGTCTCGTTAGATTTGGCCCTCCTAACAGAAGTGAACCTCCTCCCTGTCGGGAGAAGTCTAAATGCTGCATGCAGAGGGTGCAGAGGGTCTTCCAAGATGGCCTTTGCTTTCTGAGTGGGTCTTTCTTGAAAAACATGGCTCATAATTTCAAATCAAGTCAACGGCGACAATCTTTGGGCATGGTTGAACAACATTTCCCCGCCCCCTGTTTTTATTTGTGTTGCTGAGGTAATCAAACCAGCATATCATCACAAAAGTTCAAATGGACTCAATAAAAGATGAATACAATATTTTTAGAAGAGATTTCAAAGGTCACTTTTTCATCAAGGATGGTACCCAAGTATTTTTACTGACTGACTGTCCCCACATCTGTGTCGTTAATAAACATCTGGAACTCTTTAATTATTATGTTGATGGGCAGTAGCATTGATCTATAACACAAGAATTACAAATTGCAGTGGATTTATTCTGCTTTGATCTTTTATTTTCATTTTTGTTTCAGGACTCTGACCTGCGCAGTGCTCTGCTATTGGAGCAGGCTGCCCACTGCTTTATCAACATGCGTATTCCAATGGTACGCAAGTTTGCTTTCCATATGATCCTGGCTGGTCATCGCTTCAGCAAAGCAGGACAGGTGAGCCTTTCCACTATCACAAATGTACTGTACGAGGTCTGTCCTAAAAAAGGGAGCTCTGGAGGTCTTATCTTGGTGAATAGAATGAAATGCAAGTCCGTGGATTTCTTTACCAGAATCCCACTGTGACATCACAAGGAGAGCACATTTGAAACAGAGCATTTTTCTCTGTGTTGTAAGACTTATGCAGACCACAAACAAAGGACTGGATGGGTTTATTTCTAGATGGGTTTATTTCACATTTGGTTACCCAAATATATGTTCAGAAACACTGTACAAGTGAATTTTTCATAATATGTCCCCTCTAAACTATACCCTGAGTTGTTACACTGTTGGGTTTGTAGGTGGCCTGGTTGATTGGATCTCAAATCCTCCTGAGTGCGTTGTCACCTGTGCTAAAGGCTGTCCACCAGTGATCTGATCTCCCATGAGGCGTCACCTGTTTATACGAGGTGTAAACAGCGCTAAACATTATGTTATTGAATAAGCGTACATGAAAAGTCGAACTAATGACCTGACAAACAGAGAATCTTGGTCAGCCTTTTTTGTACTTTCACTTTTGTTTTCCTTTTCCTCCTTTTGTTGTGCTCCATGTTGGTTGCTCTGTGTACCTTACATCTTCGTCTCGTCCCTTTCCCTGCATGTAGAAGAGGCACGCACTGCGCTGTTACTGCCAAGCCATGCAGGTATACAAGGAGAGGGGCTGGTCTCTGGCAGAGGACCACATCAACTTCACAATTGGGCGTCAGTCCTTCACACTTCGGCAACCAGAGAATGCTGTGACAGCTTTCAGAGAGATCTTGACCAATGACAGCAGGCAGACTGCCACACAGCAGGGTGCCTTTCTCAGAGAGTATCTCTTTGTTTACAAGGTAACTACAGTTAATCATCACGTCTGCATGCTAAACTACAGGATAGAGACAAATGTGTGTCGTTGGCTGTGACTCAGAGGTAGAATGGCTTGGCAAAGAGAGCTGGATCTCTAACTTCTGCAATTGAAGGTTCCAAGTCAAATTTAGCATGAGGCATAAAGAATGTGAATGGTGTCTAAAGCCGTTTTCACATATGCACTCCGGAAAATATCTATATATTTTCAAGAAGACTCCAGATATTCACCTGTCCTGGTTGTTCACACATGCAGCTGGAGACTATCACTGTCAGATGGAGGGGGGTGGGGGGGGGCAGAAGTAGCAGGCGTAGCAACAGAGTCCGCTACACGATAATGAGAATATTTGCCTTTATATCAATGCTATGTGTAGTTCAACGGAATGACAACATCCACAAAGGAGCAGAGAACAACATACTGACCAACAGGAAACGTAATGTAGCCGTTTAATTAGAACACGAAGAAGTAGTGGTCGTTTGTACACGTTCTATGCACCGTGCAGCAGTCACAGGATACAAACGTCACTCCCCTTCCCACTGGCTCGAGGTGAATTCTCCAGAGAATATCCTGCGGCACATCAGCTCACTCTGACTTGCTGCGGAAAAAATACCAGGGGTCTGTCAGGAGAAACTCCAGGTGAAGTCCCAGTGAAAAATTGGACTCGGTTTGTGTTCACACATGCAGCTCCTCCTGGAAAAAAAAAGTGTGAAAGCCCTATAAGTGTCGGAATACTTTCTGAATACATTGTAGAATACCAGAACAAATAACATCACCTTTTACAGTAACATCAGAGCTTGACTAGGTATCAAAACACACTGTAAACTAATTATGTGACAACAAGTGAAATAATATAAAACATTTAGCTCATAAATGAGTAGAAATCACATTTCTGCTCAGTCAATGAATAAGCAACATTTTATACAGTTCGCTGCAGGGCGATACATTACAAGTGATATTGTATTTCAAAATCAGCAACCATACTGAATTCATGAAGTTTATAAACAGGATAAAAACGGTACATACAATTGATCATTATAGCTCTCTGTGTATGCATGCAATGTTCAGTTGACACAGAAATAACAAATCAGTGTTTTTCTCTCTTAGAGTGTAATAGCTGGAAATGAAGTTGACCTTCCCCCGCTGCCTCTCCCCTGCATCCTCAGCTCAGCCACAAGAATTTATTTTGGACATGATCGCCGCCTTGCAGAAGGTATCAAACTGATGATGTCATTTTGACCACCTTTAAAGAGCCCATATTATGCCCTTTTTGGGGTTCGTATATTTCATCTATGTACCTACTTTTGTATGTTCACAATAGCTAAAGTTCGAAAAAAGTGTCTGTTTTCATGTACTGCTCCTCCTTGCTCCCTCTCCGCTCTGAGTCCATCAGCTACACTCTGCTGAGCCCCCACTGTTAGACCCCACGTGGGCCAAGTCTGCTCTGATTGGCCTGCCGATCCGCTCTGTCGTTATTGGTCAGTTGCTCAGCACGCTTCTTGGAAATTTCAACATGAGCTGCTAGGCTTGCCACAACGAGCCAATGGGCTTAGATCAGTGATCTCACACTGACAATGACGCCGCACTGACAATTTTTTTTTCGAGGGGGGCTAGAACTGAGCGTTACATGCAGCTAATGCTACAGCTAACAGGAGGAGGTAGGAGAAGCTGTGTTTCTGCGGACTTTGAATTTTTGCACATAGATGTGCCTAAACATGCACAAGACACTTGGAAAACACACTAAAGGGCATATAAAACCAGAAAAAGCATAATATGGGACCTTTAACAAATTGCTTTGGTTAAATGGGTTATCAGGGTTATTCATGCTTCACGCACACAGGTTCATCTCCGAGTGTTATACAGTACATCTGCAAGAATGTGTCATTAAAGGACAGTTCCAAATAATTAAAGTGGGGTTGCATGAGATTCTAATAAACACTGAGTTTACCAGTGACACCAGTCAGCATGGCCTTTGTTTGAGGAAACCAGCTGTAGCCAGTAGTGGGGTGGCTGTGGATCAGTTGGTAGAGTCAGTCATCTCTCAACCAGCAGGTTGAGGGTTTGATCCCCAGGTCCTACAGCCACATGTCTGATGTGTTTTTGGGCAGCTTCGGCGGCGTATGAATGAGTATGAATGGATGAGTTAATACTGATGGACTCTTTACTCAGCAGCCTCTACCATCAGTGTGTGAAAGACTAGAAAAGCACTATACAAGCACACAATCTATTTAAATTGGTTCATCCATATACCCATATTCTCTATTCTGCCACTTTTCAAGATCTAATTTGAAGTTTATAAGTGGTTTTCCATCATACTATTCACACTCTGTCACAGGTTTTGTTTATACCTATTATGGTCCCAAAAAGTCATTAATTTATACTTGTGAACCCATCATGCTTTAATAATTATAATACTGTACAATTTACTAGAGATATCTGACTAACATAACCTTTTACAAGAACTTAAGGATATTACAAATGGATGTGTGTTTGTGCAAAGGTTTACTGTTTTTATTACAAACACTAATAAAAAAAAACACTTGTCCATAACATCCTAATTTCTTTATTCTTATTGTCTGATTCTTTTTTTCAGGGGAAAAGCAGGCAGCTACTCATGTATCCCTCGATCAGGAGTACGATCAGGATTTGGCAGCCATGTGGTGCAACCTGGAGGAGCAGCTCGTGGCAGCCTCCAACAGGGGGATTGTCCCAGTTAACTTCCAGCCCACCCAGTGCTGCCTGAACAGCCAGACCGACAACCTGCGCTCCCCACTGGCTGTGGTAGAGGGTAAGATGGTCCTCAGTAGACTAATTGAATAGAACCTTGTATATTACCCACAACTTAGACCGATGTACTTTTGTGATAAACTATAAAGCATAATAGAACAGTTTACTTTGCAATCAAATTGGACTACTGTATATTGTGCCTACTCAGTTACAGCCCTCTTCGGTCTTTGTCTCTGCAGAGCCAATCATAGTTGAATTGACGTTTCGGAACCCTCTCAAGGTTTCTCTGGCTCTGTCCAATCTATCGCTCCTCTGGAGATTCACTGCCAATGCTGCTTCTCCATCAGAGACGTCTGACGAGTCGTCCATCACCAATGAGGAGACCTTATCTCTAGGGGTGACTAATAGGAAGCACATTTCCCTGTAGACATTGTGATTTTATTCCCTGACTAAAAAAAGGCATGATAGCAAAAACAATCTTGAATATTTTTTAATATTTGCAGGTGACACAGAATGATGAAATTGTCACCACTGAGGTCATCCAGGAGTTTCAAATGGATCCGGAGGAGACTAAAATGGTAAGGTGTTCTCATGAGTCTCTTAAAGAAACCCTACTGGACTTAATTTTGACAAATGCCCCTCATAAGTATACTGATACAGGAAATGATTTAACTGTTGCAATGTGCCATTGCAACAGTTCGAATTGCCAAACTTCCCAAAACCAAGCCTCGGCTTCTTCTTAAAAGAGATTTTAAACACTTCTACGAACAAGCTTTTTGATCTGGCTTGTTTTGATTGGACCAGAGTTTCTCTCTTTGACAATGTAGAGCTAGCCTGGAAGTATTTTTGTGATGGATTTCTGTTTTTAATAGACAAACATGCCCCGTTTCGCAAATTCAGGGTTAAAGGGCGAAACAACCCCTGGTTTTCAACAGAGATTGGAAATCTACTTAAAGATAGGGATGTTGCCTGGGCCAGGGCAAGGAAATCCAAAACCCCAGTGGATTGGCTCCTCTTTCGCCAGCTTCGGAATAAATGTACAACCCTAATTAAGAGGGCCAAATCAGAGTATTTCATCTCTGAAACCACAAAAAACCTTTTTTGGAAAGAAATTTTGGAAAGTCATAAAATCTTCTTCTGGCCATGTGTCACCCAGTGATGTGCCACCCCACTTAGTCAAAGAGTCTTGCATCCTGACTGACAAATCAGCCATGCTAAATTGTTTTAATGAACATTTTATTTCAGCTGGCTTTTTATTTGACTTCTTTCACCCTGATTTGGTCAAATCCGACAAAAATCAGGATAATGCGTCACTGGCATCTGAGGTTGATAGTCAACTTACTGTTCATCCTTTTCAATTTATGCCAGTGTCTACCACTGAGGTGCAGAGAGCATTACAGAAACTGGATTCCAGGAAATCAGCAGGTCCTGATAAACTTGAGCCGTTTTATCTTCCTTAAATTGGCTGCTGATTTTATTGCTGAGCCTCTTTCATATATTTTTAACCTGAGTCTGATCAGCAATGAAATCCCAAAGGTCTGGAAATAAGCATTTGTTCTTGCCCTGTTAAAAGGGGGTGAACCCTCACAAGTAAACAATTACAGACTAATTTCTAAACTTCGCATTTTGGCAGTATTTGAAAAAATCATTAGTGAACAACTGAAGGATTTTTTGGATGCCAATAATGTGTTATCTAAGTATCAGTCAGGTTTTAGAAAAAAACATAGCACTGTTACAGCTGACATTATTGAAAGAATTGATTGTAAGCAATTTTGTGTAGCTCTCTTTATTGATTTATCAAAGGCCTTTGATACAGTTGATCATGGATTATTGATCAAAATCCTCCATCAAGTTGGTTTATCAAAGCAAGCAGAATCTTGGTTTGGCAACTATCTGTCAAACGGAACGCAATGCGTGCAAATGGCAGGATCCACCTCTTCCTTTTTAGAAATCTCAAAAGGGGTGCCCCAAGGTTTGATACTAGGACCTATTTTATTTTCCATTTATATCAATAACATGTGTGAAAATTTGTCAAATGCCATGTATCACTTTTACGCTGATGACACTATCATCTATTGTTGCTCAGCATCTGTTGCACAAGCTTTTGAGTTTTTGCAGTCACCTTTCAATGTTGTCCAGTCTCGTTTGAGGGAACTAAGGTTGGTCATGAACACTGATAAAACAAAACTCATGTTGTTTTCTCATTTAAGTGGAGAAACAACAAATGTCCCATTGATTTTAACTTCTCAAGGAAATGTAATTGAGCTTATCAAAAGCTACAAGTACTTTGAGTGTGATCTGTCTTTTAAATCACATATTGCCAATTTGGCCTCTAAACTTAAGGTGAAGTTGGGATTTTATTACAGAAATAAATCCTGCTTTTCCCTCAGAGCAAGGAAACTTCTTGTTTCATCAACCTTTCTTCCTTTGTTGGATTATGGAGATGTACTATATATGGGCGCCTCGGCCAAATGTTTACAGTCATTGGAAACCGTGTATCACTGTGCGTTGAGATTTTTGACTGGTTGTAGACGCTTCACTCATCACTGTGACCTGTACACTCACTCAGATTGGCCATCTTTGAAGGTGCACAGGCATATACACTGGCTGAAGCTTATTTATAAAGCTCTTCTTGGTTTGGTGCCTTCTTACTTATGTTCATACCTTCAAAGAACCAGAAGCCACTATGACTTGCGTTCCTGTGATGTCTTTAAACTGTCTGTGCCTCTTGTCCGCACGGAGCTCGGGAAAAGGGCGTTTAGTTTTGCTGCTCTCACCACATGGAACTTTCTCCAAAATGAATTGAAAATGGCGGATCTCATCTCGCTTGAAGCCTTTGGCTCAATCTTAAAAGATAAAATACGCGAGACAATTGGACAGTGCCTGTGTTTCTGATTTGTAATCCGTGATCAAGATTCTGTTCTATTTGTAAATCAATTTGCACATTATAAATCGTTGTTCTCTCTTCAATCAATCAATCAATTTTTATTTGTATAGCGTCAACTCATAACAAGTGTTATCTCAGGACACTTTACAAAAAGCAGGTAAAATACCTTACTCTTTGTCTTTTAACATTACAAAAGAGCAAGTAAAAAGACCATACTCATTGTTATGTTACAAAAAGCAGGTAAAAGACATTACTTATTAGATCCGGCCTATCTATCATGAGCACTTTAGCAAAGCAGCAAAAGTTACAGTGGTAAGAAAAAACTGCCTTATTAAAAGGCAGAAATCTTCAGGGGGGGGGGGGGGTTGTTCTGGCAGGCCGTCAACCAACGATCTTGAGGAGCCTAAGAGAGCTCAAGAGCTCCCAGGAAAGTAGGTGGTTAGTGACTGAGATTTACAGTAGACATGCAGATTTATGCAGAGAGAGAGAGAGAGAGAGAGAGAGAGAGAGAGAGAGAGAGAGAGAGAGAGAGAGAGAGAGAGAGAGAGAGAGAGAGAGAGAGGCTCAAGGTGCCAGTTCCCCCGGGAGTCTAAGCCTATAGCAGCATAACTAAGAGCTGGTCTACACCAGCACCAGCCCTAACTATAAGATTTATCAAAAAGGAAAGTTTTAAGTTTATTCTTAAAAATACAGACTGTGTCGGCTGGAAGGCAATTCCAGAGGAGAGGAGCCCGATAACTGAAGGCTTTACCTCCCATAGTACACTTAGAGACTGTAGGTACCACTAGCAGGCCTGCATTCTGGGACCGTAATGTTCTCGAGGGGCAGTACGGCACTAGTAGCTCCTTAAGATAAGATGGTGCCTGGCCATTTAGAGCTTTGTAAGTGAGAAGAAGGATCTTGAATTCTATTCTATAATGTATAGGGAGCCAGTGCAGAGAAGCCAACACAGGAGTAATGTGGTCCCTTTTCCTAGTTCTGGTCAGTACACGAGCTGCAGCGTTCTGGACTAGTTGAAGAGTCTTTAGAGACTTACCAGAGCACCCTGACAAAAGAGAATTACAATAATCCAACCTGGAGGTAACAAATGCATGAACTAGTTTTTCTGCATCATTTTGCGACAGGATATTCCTGATCTTGAATATATTACGAAGGTGAAAATAGGCTTTTCTTGAAATTTGCCTGATGTGAGAGCTAAAGGACATATTTTGATCAAATAGAACTCCTAGATTCCTAACAGTGGTGTTAGATGCCAGGCTGATGTCATTAAGGACAGTCACATCACTAGAAAAAGTCTCTCTGAGGTTTTTAGGGCCTAGCACAATAACTTCAGTCTTGTCTGAGTTAAGTAGCTTAACTTATTGTTTGTAAACTGTCTCTTTATCATGTAATGCTTTTTATGACGTGTGCTGCTGCCTTCTTGGCCAGGTCACCCTTGTGAAAGAGATCCTGATCTCAATGGGTTATTTATCTGGTTAAATAAAGGTTAAATAAAAATTAAAGGGATACTTCACCCATTTGCATTAATCTTTGTATCATCAGAAACCTGGTTGTATTTTTGAATGGTCGTGCATCCTGCCCTCATTTTCCGCTGAGATGTGAAATCTTTGTATTTCTAAGTCTAAAAAGGAGCTTCCAGTGACGCAGAAATCATCATATTGCGTCACTGGAAGCTGTTGTGGTTAGCGGGGTGAAACTACAACGCTAGTTCCTCATATTTTCGACCACTGAAGCTACAGACCAATCACAGATCAGTGGGTGGGACCTCACTCCCAGAATCGAAACGCAATGTCGGGGCTGTTACATAAAAAAGTGTTGCAGTGTTAACTGTCATTTAAACCTTTGGATCTCAGGCTCGCCTCAGGCTGCTGCCTCACAGAACAGGCCAGCTGAACATCGTGGGTGTTGTGTACAACTTGGCTACAGCCTTATCTGGAGAGAAGGCTCCCAGTACTGAAGGTAATTCACGCTGATTTTTTTCCATCTTTTAATCAATCAAATAATTAATTTCTTCTTTAGCGTAATTTCATGGTGTCAAGATATGTCTGATATGGCTTTATTTGTAGTTTCACTTCTTGTCCTGCTTTTGCATGTTTGTGTTTTTTCTTTTTGTGAATGTTTTTCTAAAAACTGTCGTCAAAGAAAATAAGAGTTCTGGTTACAGATCCTTTAGGCCCTGCGTCCACCTGGCGTTTTTTTTAAATTTATTTAAATTTATTTTTTCGGGCAGAAAAGCTGTGCGCTCTGGAGCGCTCGGATGAAGCATCTATTCAAAACAGCCGCTGTATGACCAACACTGCTCTGTTGCTCTTACTGAAGGTTTTATATTTCAGATACTTTTTTCCCTTCACTATATGCATCAAACGGAGGATACTTGCCCTCCTCCTTTGTCTGGACTCAGATCGTGGAGAACATGGGTACAGGGCACGAACCATTGGAGACAAAATACAGGGACTAACACAACCTTTCTGAAAAGTTGCAAGATTTTCAACTTGAAGCGTTTGGAGGAGTCGGTGTGGCCTCATAAAAAAGATGAAGATGCTGGGGTGCACTTTTTCTCCGGGCAGCCGTCTGCTCTCTCTTCATTGAAATCAATTGAAATAAGAAGCTGGCGCTCAGAATAAACTTTAGGTTGAAACAGGGCTTTAGGTTTTGTTTTCTTGTCACAGTTACACACACACATTGCAGATTTCTCCCTGTATACAGGCCAGCAAACTTTGGATTTGATCGTGGTTCGAGGCAGACAAGACCTGAAAATTCAAGGCCCTCGACTCAATCAAACCAAAGAGGACAAGATGTTGGTTCGGCATGGTCCTGATCATCGACTGGATCCCATCATAACACCACCCATGCCCCTAATGGAGGTAACCCCAACTGGCAGTGAAAACATTCTTAAGTCAGAGGTCCCCAAAACATGTCTGCCAAGCTTTTTGCCAAAAATCCACACTTGAAAGGGCTTTCACACTTTCTGAAAACTCCTGAAAAACCCCATGGCTCGTATTCACAAACATTCTGAGAATCCTCTGAGAGAGCACTTAACTTAGCTTAAAAATTCTTAGCAAGGAGCCTTAGCCTCGGAGTGATTGAAGAACATTGTCAGAGCAACTCTGAGCAAGGAAGAGACAGAAACTTTTATCTCAGTGAAGAGGCGGGGTTGACCCTGTTGCTAGGTATAACACATTCTTTCAGAAGCTGTGATTGGTTAATCTCAGAAAAGTCAATTATAGAATGTAGTCAGATATTATATTATAATGAACACTATTAGATTCTAATTAGATTCTGTGTGATAATTTGTGAGACATACTTTGAAAGTGTATAGCCTATACAAGATGTTTGAAATCACATGCTCACAGTTACATCATCATGTAAAGAGTCTTAATTAGTGATTTGATCCACCTGTGGAGGTGAACACTAAAAACTCAGAGATGGATTGAAATGTCTGCAAAAATCATTTTAGTCTGTTTGGCCCAACTATGAGTTAAAAATAATATTCTTCATGTAGTGTTTGGAGAACATTTCTCTGTTTCCTCCTCAGCTTGAGAAACTCTTCACCCTCCAGTTTTACACCTGAGGAGCTCTCTTAAGGGCTAAGACACTTTGTGAATAACTTCATCAGACTAGATCATCTCTACAAGGATCTAGTCTGAATGGCCCCTGAGATATATATATATATATATATATATATATGTATGGAGTGTGAACGTTTTAATTGTTCTATGTATTGTCTATGCAGCAATTTCCCCGTATCCTAGACAAATTCCTCCTGAGGGAGACAAATACAGAAACACCTACAAAGGTGCCTAAAATTCTTCTCTGTTTCCAACAAATCCAGAGCATTCAGGAGCAGAATCTAAAGTTAGAAGGACATGCTGGCTGCTGCATTGTTGTCAGAGAAGCCAGCACTTCAACATAGCATGTTTCCTTAATGTCTGATCATATAAATGTATAAAAGTCATTTTATTATTTAATTCAGTAAATATCTTACAAATTGAAAATGTAACATTTTGGTTGTTTCAAATAGTTAAATCTCATTCTTGTCATAATTATCATGTGTTCTGACAAACAAAATCTAAGCTTAACAACTTGTTTGTATGTGTGATTACGTTTCTGTTCTAGTTCTAGACATACCCTGACTTTATCTTGGGGGTGTGTGTACTTCAGGTCTTTTTCTTGCAGTTTCCCACTGCTCTTCTGTGTGGTGAGATCAGAAAGGCCTACGTTGAGTTCTGTAACGTCAGCAGTGTTGCTCTGTGTGGCCTTCGAGTGGTGTCTACGCACCCGCATTTCTTTACCTTTGGCAGCCAGGCCACAACACCCCTCAGCCCCAGCTCAACTGAAAACTGTTCAGCCTATAAAACCATGGTGGCGCCCCCCCAGTCCAACTGGGTGGCATCAGAGGTGCTGGTTTCACCTGAGGACTTCAGTCAACTGTCTGGTGTGATGGAGATACCCATAGATGGAAACACTCTGCAGCCAGGGGAGTCCACCCAACTGCCTCTGTGGCTCAGGGGACCAGACCAGGAGGGAGTTCATGAAATCAGTTTCCTCTTTTACTATGAGAGCACAGAGAAAGGACTCAAAATGAGGTAAACATAGAAATCAACTCAAGAAGGCATGTATATTATTATTTATGTTTACAAATAAATAAGCTTGTATCACATGAATAATAATAATTTATCCTTTATTAATCCCGTGAGGGGAAAATTCAGTTTTACTCTCTGTCTAATGAACATGCTACACACACACAAACAGGATCCTACGGACATGCATTAATGGAGAGGTCACAGAGTGAGGGGCTGCCCACAACGAATGCTCCAGAGCAGTTATTGGGGTTCGGTGCCTTGCTCAAGGGCAAGGGAATATGTGACATATTGGAGCAGGCACAAATGAATCATTATATCATGCTATATTGTATAACCATATTCAGGATAAACCCGGACATCTTTATTAACAATTTGATATTTAACCGTTTTTTGGCCGATCTGTCGATTCGACATGTTGAATCAACGTTGGTGGTTGGTGATTGGGATCGCTCTGATTGGCTGTTGGGAGGTTTAATTTCTCTCCAGCTCTCCTCTCAGGTTCAGTAAAGCCCCTTGAGCATGCCGCTGTAGTATCCATGCTTTCACCCATTAGTGTGCTTTCTCCTTATTTGTCTCCTCAGTCTCTTCTTTTCTTTTTCCACTAAAAGACCAAGAGCTGACAACGCCAGCGCCATTTTCTACTTTTTATCAGACGTAATTCTCCATTAGTAGACTACCTATAATACGAGTGGTGACCGACAGCAGTATGAAAATTGTCTTCTTGTATCATAACAACGGACTACCGCCCCCTGCTGGCATGGATAGTTATTTCCTCTCACTGCAGAATGTACGTGGTGATTGGTCGTCGGCTGTAGTCTTGGTGGTGTGTTCAAGTGCAACTTTTTGAGGCAACGCCACAGGCGACCTTTGTCCCCACTAGTTCTTTGTGGTCTGCTTGGTGTGTCAGGTCCTTAAGGTAGTAACTGAACACAAGCAGCCATGAGACGTTATATTATCACCCTGCAAAATATCCCAATACTATGCTGTATGGGTTCTTTCCCCACCTCTACTATATAATATATAATATGTAATATATATGTATTATGTAATATATAATATGTAATGTGTAATATGTAATATGCTTGTAGTAGAAGGGAAAACTTTGACTAAATGTAATCTGTGATATTTTCTTTAATTTTTGTAAATCTTTATTTACTATTTCAGTTCTTGCGGCATATCAAAACCTCAACATATATACTCGTCTTTATCACTGAAGATAAATGTCTGATATTATAACAGATATCGCTTTATCATTGTTTTTATACAACAATCAATTTTGATCCTGTCTTTTGGATCATTTTCATCATAACTTTGGGTCGGGTTTTATTTCAAAAGTTTCTGCTGGAGCTCTTATTGAACATAGAATTAATTTCTGGTGGCTTCACTCTTGAACTATTTTGGGTGGAAATAGGTTGTAAATTTGTCAAAGTACATATTCACACTGACACTGCTTTGATCTAGCAGTGGTGCAAATCTGAATGTTTTTATCTGTTTCGATGATCTCTTACTCTTTTTCTCTTTTTTTCATGTGAAGTCATCGTGTGTTACGTCACACAGTGTTTATCTGTGCCAGTCGTTCTCTAAGTGTGCAGGCCTCGGCTTGCCGCAGCAGCGTTCCTCCACATCACAGTCAGGATGACAAGGGCAGTGGTGGAACGCTGGTCTTTATTGATGTAGAGAACATCAACACGGTGAGAGAAACACACTTTTAGTACCCAGCTTTCTTCTTTTGTCAAGTTGAACAAACTATTTTCATTCTGCCTCCTTTTGGATCCAGAGTGAAGCTGGCGTGCAAGAGTTCCACATTGTCCAAGTCTCGAGCAGCAGTCAACACTGGCGCCTCCACAAGTGTATCAATCCTGCCAAGGATAAAGGTTTGTAGAATATGTAGTTCACTGGCTTTAAAGTCACTTCTTCTAGTCAGCCTGGTATATCAGATATTCTTCTCCATAATCTCAAACATGCTCACACTACAACATATGTAAATGTTGGCACATCACACAGGATCACTTCAGGATTTCATGCACCGACTCCCGTTACCTCACAGAAACAGTAGAGCAGGCACGTTCAGTTTGCCATTATAAAGCTTTGTGCAGAAGAAAACCCTTAAAAAAATAAAAAATAAAAAAAAATAAAAAAATGTTTTTGGTGAAGAAATGTTGGGGGAGACGCAGACAACATGGGTTGTATATTGTTAAGTGAGAGCTGGAGGTGTGTGAAGTGTCCGCTCATACACTCCCAACTGTTAGTAAACTGTAAAACTCCACAGGTTCTTCCCCAAGTTCCTTACTTTATTGTAAAAGGTTAAAGTAATGTCAAATTATTTTTAAAGTAGACAAGTTCACTTTTTAGACGTGTGGCTGTAGAAGGGATATGCCACGGCAGCTTGTCTCGGTCTCTAGCAAGTGAGTCACAGTGTAAGATTTCTTTCACATATATTGAACACCAAGGACAGGAAGTAGATGTATTTCACCCTCTTATTAGAGTAACATTAAACTACTATAATGACATTAATCATGAAATGGGTCTGCATTCATTTCTTCAATCTAACAGGTTTCTCTTTTTTTTTTGTTCTATTCGATCAGCTCTCAAAGCAGAGGGTGTTCCATTCATACAACAAACCTTCAGCTTATTGTTTTCTGCTCATACTTCTTGTCGCCCTTGCTACTTGCTTTGTTTTGTTTGCTTGTTTTTCAATCGTGTGTCACATCCTACTTACTTGTTTAAAATAATGTAGGGACACAGTCTAAAAATAAAAGTGCTACTAGTGGTCAAAAAGTTGTTTTTGTCTTTATAGTGGCACAAGTATATACAATGGCGTTAACAGTCAAATATATGATCATGGTATGCCATAGTAAAGTGAATTCATATCATTGTAGACATAACATGAAAGACAAGCTATAGCTAACAACCCAACAGGATGGAAGAAACTCTTACAACTGAAAATGAACAAAAGAACCCTGATAAGAGGATAACAAAAATATTCATGTATTCCACCACATCTCTGCTCATAATTGAACGCAACTGGATGTCACAATTGAACTTTGATAATCAGTGGTGGTATATCATAATGCATGCTCGAGCTATATACCATTCAAGGCCTTTGCACACTGAGTCCCTTTTTTTTGGATGCGGTTTTAGGATCCATTATCCAAAAAACAAAAAACCCATCACGGATAGACACCATGCCCAATGAGTCTGACGCGTTTATTTTTCTATGAATTGCAAAAAATTGCAATATGAGACTGAAACAGTTGAGTGCTACTGGGTTCTGTTCAATACAACATATGCACACGGCTACATAAAGAAATGCTTACAGAACCTGCCCGGTGTCTCCACATCTTATTCACTTCTCTTTTATCTAAAATGTCCAAACAGAAAAGTCTCCTCCAGCGTGCCTGTGTCTGTGTCTGTGTCTGTGTCTGTGTCTGTGTGTCTGTGTGTGTGCTACTACAGAGAGAGAAGAAGGAGAGCAATCGCTTATCAGTTCTCAACTGTGCTAATTAACTCTGGCACTGCTCCCCCAAGCTACCATCACGAAGATGAGCCTTACAACAACCCCACTCCCACCGAGACCAAACGTCTCGTACTCACCATGCAGTGTGATCGAGCAGTGAAGTTGACTTTGTGCTTCTTTCACTACTTGGAAAAAAACAACGCGTACAGTCCAAATGAAAACAAGACAAGAGCGAGTAGAATTTCAGCTGTCAATAAGGATGTGCAGAAATAATAATCCCAGGTGTGTTTCAGGATGTCAATGATCCACTTTGATACTCTGTTCACACATTCAAAAAAAAGAAGCAATCGATCCTGAACAACGTCTGACAGGTAGGGACGCTCCAGACAAACGCAAAAAATCTAAACCTGTTCTGAAATAATAATGACGGACGAAAGTCTCTGGGGCAGTGTGCAAACATGATTGACACAACATAAGATCCTATTTATTTTTTAACGTGCGTCAATTTTGAACCAAAAAAAATTGACTCAGTGCGCAATGGCCTTTAATGCTACATTGAACAAAAATGAACTCATTTTATTTATCATGACCTAAAACTTGTTGCTGGTGTATTTTCACTGACTATTTACCATCTTCTGTCCTTTCCCCCTCCAGACTGTAAACTCACTAGCAGAGAGAGAGCCAAGCTGTGTTTCAGGGCCACAAGATGCAAGCCCCTCCAAGGTACCAGTTTGACACGCGTTCATTAGAGTCCCTGTTTTTATTCAAAAAATCATTTGGCTATGTTTTGTATATTATTTCAGCTACCTCAGATGCTGTACAGAAGTACACATTTGCAGACCTGAATCTGGGAAATGAACAGGTGAGATAAATCCTCAGTTTAATTCAGTTCAAGTGTATGTTTTCATTTTTATACCTCGTAAGGACAAGTTTGGTTATTTTTTGATATGTTAACATTTCGCATCATACTTTGAAAGGAAGAATGTGTAACATTTTTATCCAGTAGATGTCGCCCTTAAAACCAAAACAAACTGCTGTTTGGCCACAAACATACTGAAGCCTCCGCTCTCCTCCAGAGACACACCTCCAACCCCCCTACACTCACGTTCACATGAAGGCGTTATCAAATAGAACGCACCATAATTAAGCGCTAAGCACAAGCTGTGGACAAAATTGTCCTTGTCTCGAGCTGCATTGTTGTGTTAGCATGCTAATGTTAGCGCTCTTTAGTTAGCTCGTGGCGTCACATTGCATGTAAATTTACACTGAATGACCGTGATCCTAAAATGCTTAGGTGACGTTTCAAATAATCAATAAGTAAAGTATGATATTCTTCTCTCTAGTCCTTGACTAGAACAGCTTTTATACACAAGGGGAGGAGCCGGCCGTCCCGTCCATGTCAACACGGCTCTGACAACAACACAGCCAGTGGGACTCAAGCTTCTCACTCATTGTAGACAGTCATGACTCAGAGACACATTTACACAGGATATACTGGATCTCTGATATATTTATGTGGGACCATTAAGCCCAGCAAGAGGGCATAGGCATCATCTCTTTTTGTCCTTGTTAATACCTCTGTTGAATAATAAACCAGATGGCAGTTGTGTATAATGGGTTTTTAGATCTTTCTCTATGAAAACAGATCCCTGCTGCAGTTGAAAAAATATTGATGAGTTGGATTAGAGTGAAACATTAAAAAAGAGTTTCTGTCTTTCCCCCTTCTCCTTACCTCTTCATGCTGTGTAGATCATCAGTTCCTCTACACCCTGTGGAGATTTCTTTTTCCGTGGATGTTGGACCTCAGAATCTCAGCGAGTAAATGTGGCACCCTCTGGGAGATCATCCAGCAACAAGAGTCAGAGCTCTGTTTCCACTGAGGACACTGACATTAACAACATCGTAAAGAAGTGTAATGAGCTGGACCTCAACATCATCGTCATTTGGAAGGTACATGTAACAGAGAAAGAGAATTAACAACTTCATGACTAAGTGTCAGGATAAGGGAAGCTAGGTAAGTTAGCAAGAATGTGAAGCCCCTTTCACATTTGTACTGCACTCCTGAACATTCTCCATACCTGGGGCAGGGTGGGAAGCTTGTGTGAATGCAAACAGAAGAATCTGCTCCAACTGTCTTGAAAATGACTTATTTCTGCATGTGCCCTAGGAAAGGTTCACGTGCATAGGAGAACAGTTGTGTGAATGAAACAGGTTATTTCATGGAACATTTCCCAAACGTAGACTGGATGATGACGTGATGCACAACAGAATTTTTCTACATTTCATAACTTTACTGCTTTTCACAATCAATCAATCAATCAATTTTTATTAGGTTGTTGTTCTGGCAGTCCGTCAACCAACGATTTTGAGGAGCCTAAGCGAGCTCAAGAGCTCCCAGGAAAGTAGGTGGTTAGTGACTGAGATTTACAGATAGATACATGCAGTAATATGATGTACTGTATATGCAGTAATGTGGTCCCTTTTCCTAGTTCTAGTCAGTACACGAGCTGCAGCGTTCCGGACTAGTTGAAGAGTCTTTAGAGACCCACCATAGCACCCAGACAAAAGAGAATTACAATAATCCAACCTTGAGGTAACGAATGCATGAACTAGTTTTTCTGCATCATTTTGCGACAGGATAGTCCTGATCTTGGATATGTTACGAAGGTGAAAATATATACATATCTTGATCAAATAGAACTCCTAGATTCCTAACAGTGGTGCTAGATGCCAGGCTGATGTCATTAAGGACAGTCACATCACTAGAAAAAGTCTTTCTGAGGTTTTTAGGGCCCAGCACAATAACTTCAGTCTTGTCTGAGTTAAGTAGCAAAACATTTCTGGTCATCCAGGTCCTAACGTCCTTAAGGCACGTTTCTAGCTTACATAACTGACTGGTGCCATCGGGCTTCATTGATACATAAAGCTGAGTATCATCTGCATAACAATGAAACTATGGAGTGTTTCCTCATAATATTTCCCAGAGGAAGCATATATAATGAGAATTGGTCCAAGCACTGAACCTTGTGGCACTCCATAGCTAACTTTGGTGTACGTAGAGGACTTATCATTAACATGTACAAACTGAGATTGGTCTGATAAGTAGGATTCAAACCAACTTAAAGCAGTCCCTGTAATTCCAAGTAAATGTTCTAGTCTGTATAATAGGATCTGATGGTCAATGGTGTCAAAAGCAGCACTAAGATCTAACAAGACGAGCACAGAGAGAAGTCCGTCTGAAGCTAGAAGTAGATTGTTTGTAACTTTAACTAGTGCAGTCTCAGTGCTATGGTGGACTCTAAATCCTGACTGAAACTCCTCAGATACACTGTTGTCATGGAGAAAGTCACACAGCTGATTTGCTACCACTTTCTCCAGGATCTTTGAGATAAAGGGAAGGTTGGATATAGGCCTATAGTTAGCTGGAATTCTTGAATCTAGAGTAGGTTTTTTGAGTAGAGGTTTGATTACTGCTACTTTAAATGACTGTGGTACATAGCCTGTCAGTAAAGACATATTGATCATATCTAATATAGAGTTGCTAACTAATGGAAAGACTTTCTTAAACAGCTTGGTTGGGATTGGGTCTAAAAGACAGGTTGACTGTTTCGACGCAGAAATAATTGAATTTAGTTTTGAAAGGTCGATTGGAGAAAAACAGTCTAGACTTATATCTGGTCCTGGAACTGTCTCTGCCGTGTCAGACGTATCAGCACCAGGTAAGGGCAGGAGGTTACCAATTTTGTCTCTGATGTCTAGAATTTTGTTGTTGAAAAAGCTTAGGAAATCATTACTGGTGAGGGCCAAAGGAGTACAAGGCTCAATGGAGCTATGACTCTCTGTCAGCCTAGCTACACTGCTGAAAAGGTATCTAGGATTGCTTTTGTTTTCCTCGATTAGAGAGGAGTAGTAGGCAGCTCGAGCGTGACGTAGAGCCTTCATATATTTTCTATGACTATCCTGCCAGAATAAACGAGATTCTACTGTTTTGGTTGAGCGCCATATTCTTTCAAAATTTTGCGACGATTTGTTTTAGACTACGGGTTTCTGAGTTGAACCATGGAGCTAGTCTCTGCCGTTTGATAACCTTCTATTTTAGGGGAGCAATCGAATCAAGAGTAACTCTCAGCGAATCCTCTGCACTATCAACAAACTGATCTAGCTGAGAGGGACTAAAGCTATCATAAGAGTTTCCAACTGGGTTGAAACTGAATCAAAAGCATCTGAAATAGCTTCCTTAACTCTAGCTACAGCACTATCAGATAAACTTGTAGAGAGCACATTTTTATTTAGCAGAGATAATTCTCTGGTAGGACAAAGTCGAATGTAATAAGGAAATGGTCTGATCGAAGAGGAGTTTCTAGGAAAACTGTAAGGTTTTGGATTTCAATGCCATAAGCTAAAACAAGATCCAGGGTGTGGTTAAAATGATGAGTAGGTTCGTTTACACCCTGGGTGAAACCAATAGAGTCTAATAATGACATGAAAGCTGTGCTAAGGCTATCATTATCAACATCCACATGGATATTGAAGTCACCTACAACAATTATTCTATCACTGCTAAGGACTACATTTGATAAAAATTCTGCAAATTCAGATAGAAATTCAGAATATGGGCCAGGAGGGCGGTAAACTACAACAACTAGAACTGGCTGAAAGGTTCTTGAGACTGGATGTGAAAGACTAAGAACAGGCTTTCAAAAGAAGAAAAATTCAGCTTTGGTCGAGGGTTAACTAGAAGACTAGAATTAAAAATAGCTGCTACTCCACCACCTCGTCCAGCGCCTTGAGGTATATGAGTACTAAACTGACTGGAAGGAGTGGATTCATTTAAACTAACATATTCATCTCGACACAGCCAGGTTTCAGTCAAACAAAGTAAATCAATATGCTGATCTGATATCAGATCATTCACAAAAAGAGATTTGGATACTAAGGACCTAATGTTCAAAAGTCTGCAGTGAATTTTCTGTTTTTTTTGGAAAATCGTATTCGTAGTTTTGATTCTAATGAGATTTTGACGATTTACGCCTTTTTTTTCTACGTTTGGATGACTTATAAAAAGGGGTCTGGACCGGGGGACAGACACAGTACTAATGTGCCTTCTAAGTGATATTAATACAGTAACCGTCATTATTATGGAAGACTCCTCCACCTGCTCATGCTACATAGCTGCCCTCGACCTCCTCAAACCAAACAGAGTATGTTGTTACTGACAATATCCCGCTGTGAGGTGCATGAGTGAAAGACAAATTCCTAAAAATGTCAGAGTCTGAACGTTCTCAAGTTAACCAGGAACTGTCAAGCTCTGTGTGAACAGGGCTTCACTATGTAAGATTTCACCATTACATTACAAATATGAACTTTTGGATTTGTGTGCTTGTACAGGCTTACGTAGTAGAGGACAACAAACAGCTGATTCTAGAGGGCCAGCTCCATGTGGCCTTGCAGACCATTGGCAAAGAGGCCTGTTCTTTACTTCCCAAAGAGGTATGGAATGCACACACAGCAGACAATGGTGACATACCATGATTTTCACAAGGCATTTTGATATCAAAAACATTTACAGAGGTCAGAATTCACTCTCAAGCCTAAATTCCACCAGATGCATGTTTGGTCTGTCTCCGCTCTGTTATAGCACAATGTGTGTGCTTCCACTGGCTCCGTCTCAGCTCCATCAGTCCGGACCCTACGTGGCAGATACACAAGGCTTCTATTTTTGCCGGAGCAAGGCGCATCAATTTAGAGAAGATCGAGCAGGACAGGAAGTCAGACTGAGAAACAAGATTAAAACATACAGTTTAATCTTCAGAATAAAACAGTTCAGAACTGTGACCGTATGTGTGTTAGTTTTTGTGTTTGAAATGGTTTAATACAGTTTTATACCACATACATCGTATTATTTCACAATGTTGCGAGTGAATCTCTAAAATGACCGCAGGAATTCATTTGTCTCGGCACTCCAGCTGTCTGGCAGCCTATGGAGCTGTAACGGACCGGAACAGACATGCAATGCACACATATCTGGTGGAAGAAAGATTTCTATCATTAAAAGATGCATGTTATGTTTTTGTGATGATTTGTTTTTGTTGCAGGAAGCTCAGGAGATGGTGCTACTCAAGTTTAAGTCGGAGCTGCCCCCCCCAGTCGTCCTCCCCTCTGCAGAGCTGTCCCAGCTCATCAAAAGCAACCTGCACTACCCTGAGACCTACACACATCCATTTGTCCAGGATAGGTGGGACACAGACTGCACCACACACACACACACACACACACACACGCACATGCATTTTTCAAATCTTTTCAGAATAGTGAAATGCCTCATTCACCAGGGAACAGTGGTTAACAAAGTACTCAACTTATACCATAGAGACTGCTGATCAAATATCACTCAGTAAAACTGTTACTTTGAGTCCAATAAGTAGAATTGTATTGAACATTCACATCTCAGCAGCAGTTTGTGTGTTCCATAATGTGGGCTGTGCTGCAACTTCATTAATCATTTACATTTCCAGATAGGATCAATCAGAATGTATTCTTCATATATTAAATGTGTTTTCTACATATACAAAATGTCCGTCCACGTCAGTTGGGGTTGATATGGTGATCCTTACAAATCCAAAGCTCCATTATAGCTTTCTTCACAATTCTATTTGAGATGCTAAAAGTTTGTCATTTATCTCTGGAGAGTTCCCATTGTCCTCTCAGTTCATAACACTTACAATAGCTTTGAAATAGTGACATTACTGCACACATGGAAACCATTCAAGTTGTTGTATATGCTTCTCTAATTCTTTAAAGTAAATAACTGAATACATTTATACATCAATACAACATGGAAAGCATGCACTGCTCAACATATTTAGAATCATTTGATGATGAATTGGCTCTAAGTTGTAGATTTAGGATATGAAGCCTCACAGATAATATAGAGCTAAAGCTTAGAAGTATATCACATGAGGAATTAAATAATTGTTGTTTTCAAGTGGAGAACTGAAGCCCAACTTTGAATGGCTCAGACTCAACCCAACTCAGATTCTTCTTTGTTGACTCAGACTCGAGGTTGGTACTTAGCTTGGGGATTTGACAAATCCAGAGGAACAATGAGGAGCAATTTTACAGTTACAACATCAGTGTAAGTAATATCAATAGAAAGGAAGTAATTCTTAATTAGATGTGTTTTACCCAAGCGGCAACCTCCGGTCTTATGTATAAACCTTTATGTATTGAAAAGGCTTTGCGCCCCTTTGCAATAAGAACACCAGAGTTGATTTAAATAAAGGTAATGTAGCAACACTAAGAGAAACATGTTGCTGATGATGTTTTGCCCTCTGTCTGTAGCATCTGTGTGGTGCCAGTTACATTGACTCTGTCAAACTGTTCCTTGGCTCAAGTGGATGTCATCATTGAGTTGCGGCACAAAAGCACCTGGTTAGTGTTTACATTTACGCAAAAACAAAGAGTCTTACTTTTACATCAACATATTTACTAATTTATCTCCTTCAATTATGTCCTTTCAGCCAAGAGTCTCTAGAGGTCCATAGCTCTTTCACCTGGGTGGGTCAGACTGAATACAAGCTGCAGCTAAAGCCTCAAGAGGTGCTTTGCCTGACTCTACGGGCCTGTTTCCTCCAGGCAGGAGTCTACAACCTAAACACTCCAAGAGTCCTTGCCAAGCCAGCCAGGCTGGGAGCCATGTGTGAGACTAGTCAGCAGACCGCTAGTCCTGCTCTCATTATTATCAATAATGCCTGAGTAGAGCAACATGGCCTGCGAGGAAGAAGGCCTGGACATTGTGGACGCAGAACCTGCTGACTAGAGAATATTGGCCACTTCTCTACACACATGAACATCTTTGTTTTTCTTAATTATACTGGACAACAGGAAAAGAAACTGTTGTTTTGTACCAATGAGTATAATAGAAACAGATTTATTTAAAACAAATTGCTACAGTTGAGAGTTAATGTTGTTCAATCATTTTTCAGACAGTTAATGGACAGAAACTATTACATTGATTTGATTTTCATCTGCATGAATCTTTTTTTTAAGGAGCCCACTCTTCAATGTTTACCTTTCCACAGTCCAGTACCTCTATTTTCCACCCACATTGTTTAACCCAACATGACCTGCATCTCAAACACTGAGACAAGGTATGTCATCTTTTAGACAAGTGCTAGTGTTTGACCCAAATGTGGACCCTGTCACTCACTTTGCATTAAGGGTTTATATTAAACTTCTGCACTAGGTGTTTCAAACATGTGCCCACATTGATCTACAAAATGATATCATATGTGCATTTGTTCTAGCTCAACTGGACTGGCATGTATTTCAAGGCACTTGAACTCATTTTGTGAGCTATAACTGACAACAACTTCCGTTTGCAAATATATTGCACTGTAGAGGGAATCAGAGAGCAGGATTGACAGAACCGTTGGTTTGAAATGTCATTTACATCCGATACATCTTTAGTAGTGTATTCCTCACAACCCAATTCTCTTTTCATTAAGTTAGCATTGTTTGGGTATCAGTTCTCTTGGTCTATACTAAAAGGCTAATGACTACTGGATCTATTACAGTAGCCTGTTCTCTGTGTGTGACTTCATCTTTGAACACTCTAGCTCATTTTTTTCATGCGCATGTGTTTGATCAGACCAGCATACACCCTGAGTTTTTGTGTTTAATCTCATCGTATTATGATCAAGCTCTTGTATTAATTGATTTGAAAGCTTTTCTGAAGATTATGCATTATATTTATGTAACAAATTGAATGTAAATAGAAAATAAAACTGTAACTAATGACACTGTTAGTTGCAGTCTGTTCTAGGTTTAATTGATAACTGTCATGAACACTATGCATAAGTTTGTATAACTGCTCCCAAAGTTTCTTCTTCTGGTACAGGTAAGCCACGCTCAAACTGATGTTTGACCAATATTTATTATTTTCTTTTTGTCAGCAAACAAACTAAAATGAAGTAAATAAAGACACAAGCATTTATGAGCACAAATAACTATACCAAAGCTAAACCAACTCTCCTTTACAAATGAACATACCAGAAATGTTTAGTCTTTTCAGTATTTGAAATGTTCTTCACACACAAGTCTCCTTCACCTGTATCCTACTATTGGCAATAGCTCCTTGTAGCACACTTAATTGCCTCAATTAATCATGTGAATGCCGCATGCTGACCACTCATCGCAATACACAATTCGAACAGTAGGTGTCAGTAAAAGAATTTGAATACATTTCAAGATAAACATTTTCTCTATGAAAACAAAAACCAGTTCAAAGAAACACATTTTTTGCAACAGCTATGTAAAAAAAAAAACTGTTGACAAAATATTAGATACTAGCCAGAGATTTACTGTCAGCATTGATAACTCAAACGTTTGCTGTAACTTCAACATGACGTTGTCTCTCGTTTCTTCAGGGAATTTTTAGGATTTTTGGCAGCAACCTACATCACAGAATTGAATAGGTTACTCATGCATACTGTAAGCTGTTGTACTGGCTGATTGCAGTATTTTTTAGAGCCGACAAAATTAATGCAGTATAACTATTTATTCAGAATCAGTCATCGTTTTCTATTGCCAAGTACATTTACACATATAAGGAATTTGACATGGTGTTTTGGTGCAAAAGCAGTAAACAAAGGAAATGAAGCAAAATAGCAAGAACTTAAATAAAATCAAATATAAGAAGTAATTACAAATATATATAAAATAGAGTATAAGAAATATAAAAACACACTGTACAAAAGGTGCAGTATTAAAAGTCCAGTGAGCGTTAATGTAACGCATAAAAACAGTTTCAGCTTTCACAAACTTCAATGCTGTCTCACTTGGGGGCTGGATGAGAGTCTGTAATATGTTGGGGGGGTGGTCCTGATGGACCCGCACATGGACTGTTTGAGAGTCTCAAACAGTCCATGTGCGGGGTGAGAGGGGTCAGCCTCAGGGTCCTGGAGGTGTACAGGTCGAGGAGAGATGGTAAGTTGGTCCTCAGGGCTGTTGGGGTTGTATCAAGTCAACTTTGGTTATATTCTTTAATAATTATATTTAATTATTAATAATATAAATAAAATATAATTAAACAATGTTTAATCTAGTTTTGGGGCACCGACCTGTACTCAGGTAAATATAACCAAAATATCACTCAAATCAGTCTCAAATTAGTTATTTAATCACTAATATTATTAATAATTAATAACTATATTTAATAAATTGAAGGTGTGAAATCTGTACACAAAGCCTTCGCACCCAGCTTATATCACAATGCAAATACAACCAGTAATCACAAACAACTGCTCTCTTAAATTATAACAGAATTTATTTAAACAAAGCAACAGCAATCCAAAATCAATGAACTTAATCAAACAAATAACTATCATAAACTAATCTAAGCAACAAACATTATCAAGCTAGGCTTGTGGAAGGTGTGTGTGTGTGAGAGAGAGAGGAGGGGGGGAGAGGGGGGAGATGGCTTCGTCCCATGTGGTCGCCCTTCCGATGGCACACACCTAACAAAGACCTAATGTGGCCTTAATGTCTAAAAGAGACCGAGTTCAGCCCTACACGATCTGTGTCTCTGAGGCGTCTGGATGGCCGCGAATGTATAGATCTCTGTGTGTGTGTAGCCAATGTGCGTAATGGCGCGGTGGTGGAGTTAGTACCAGGGGGAGAAAAGAGGAGAGTAGAGGAGGAGAGAAATGCGTGCCTGAAAATGCCGGATCACAGTCCGAATCCCGTGCCACAACTCGGAGTAATTCCCTTCATTCACAGAAACAAACCAATAGCCAAATTCAAGTTAATACGGCTTACACTGGCCTTTCTGATCAGAAGAGTAATACCCAGTTATAACGCTGTTACGCTAAACACATATAGGACGCAGTGGTCCGAAACGGGAATAACAAGAGTTTTAAACAGGTAAAACTCAGGACGCGGCGGTCAACAAAGAGAAAAATTACAGTTTCTGCATCAATCAAACAATTGTTAAAAACACTCTCTAAAGCTAATTCTGCCCAGACCTAATTAAGCCTCACTTGTGAATCGCTTTGCCCGCGATTAGTGAAAGGAAAAGAGTCCGGCGATAAAACAGATCTGTCGGTCCTGGTGCAGAGGCGTCTGATGGCGGCGAGGGTCCCTTATGGCAAGAGCGGCTTCGTTGGTTCTCCGTCGAGTGGAAAGATGTCCGTTGATGTCCTTTCGTTGCAGGACGGAATAAGACCGTTATCTTTCTGATAATCTGTTATAGTCTGACGTTCTCCGAGAAACTGAGATGCGTTCACTGGACAATCCAAGCTCGGAATTTAGAACACTGCCGACTGCGGATTACCTGCGCGCCAAAATTTAAAACAAAGGAAGATTGTTGCAGGAAACAGGAGGTGAGCTTGTGTCTCCGAACACTTGAAGTTAGCGTGTGGAAAGAGAGAGAGCAATGGAAGTCTTGGAGCTTTGTAGCCTGGCCTGCTCCATGGGGGGTCTACCTCAAGTCCCCTCCAATGAGGAGAGAGAGGTTCCGGTCCCCCCTTAATTCACACGTAGGTGTGAAGTACCGCAGGGGATTCTGGGATTAAGAGTCGTTTTAGGCCTCTTTGTGATCTCAGTGAATAACTCAATTGAGGTGCAGGCCGAAGTCCATTGTTTGACTGTCCTAAGCCTGCGTGGCCCAACAGGGCCCTGGAGGTGTACAGGTCATGGAGAGATGGTAGATTGGACCTCAGGGTCCTGGAGGTGTACAGGTCGTGGAAAGATGGTAGGTTGGACCTCAGGGTCCTGGAGGTGTACAGGTCGTGGAGAGATGGTAGGTTGGACCTCAGGTTCCTGGAGGTGTCGAGAGATGGGAGGTTGGACCTCAGGGTCCTGGAGGTGTACAGGTTGTGGAGAGATGGTAGGTTGGACCTCAGGTTCCTGGAGGTGTCGAGAGATGGGAGGTTGGACCTCAGGGTCCTGGAGGTGTACAGGTCGTGGAGAGATGGAAGGTTGGACCTCAGGGTCCTGGAGGTGTACAGGTCGTGGAGAAATGGTAGGTTGGACCTCAGGGTCCTGGAGGTGTACAGGTCATGGCGAGATGGTAGGTTGGACCTCAGGGTCCTGGAGGTGTACAGGTCATGGAGAGATGGCAGGTTGCAGCCAATCGACCTCTCTGTAGAGTGGACGATACACTGCAGTCTGTGTTTCATTCTGTTCTGTCTTCACACTATACAGAATGGACGGATAAGCAATTCCAGCTGCTTACACTGTTTGCACACACACTGATACAACATGGCAAACCAACAGTTCTTAACCTGTGTCACACTCTAAAGGGTTCGTACTGAAACAATAACCCAATAACAATACTACTGTTACATCCCCTTTCTTTTTCCTTTGAAGTGTGATCTTATTCAACGAAAGAACTTTCAAAACATCACATACTACAAACATATATAAACAATCCTATCAAATAAAAGTTTGTTCTTGTTCAGTCCACTTACTACATTTATCCAGATGAAGCCACAAGGAGCTACATAAGAAACAAGTTGCTGCTGTTATTGGGATTTTCCGTTAAAAGCTCCTTTTTGAGTAGTATAGAACTTTTGCACTTAAATAATACTGTGTAGCAAAACTTCTTACAAAATACTTACCAACTTACATAAAATAAACTTCTTTCTCTTTCCAATGCTTTGCCACATATGCAAACCATAACCCTCCTTTTTCCACAATGCTTTTTCAAAATATGCAAAATCTAACAATTTTCAACATTTTTTTCTCCTTTATTTTTTTTCTCTGTGTCCCTGTTTCACGTTCATTAACACAGTTGAATCTGTATAGTCCTTCAAGTCATTTGGCCTAATAACCACTGGACCAGACTTGGTTGTAAAAGCCTGTTGTGTGGTTGAGACAGCCTCTGGTGTTGTGTGAGATTCAACAGTCCCAGTTTGTTCAGGCTCACTAGACACCATGCCTTGGTCACGTCTGAGGTGATGGCAGTCCCTCCTAAGAACACTGCATAAGACCTGTGGTCAACAGGATTCATTATTGTAGCCTTCCTCCAGATCGTGTGGGGTTCAAACGGCTGTATCCTGACACGGTCTCCACGTTTCAGTGTGTCCACGTCCTTCACTGTCCTGTTGAAGTATTTGGCCTGTCTCTGTTGGTTGTTGACATGGGCTTGTGTTTGTTTCACTTCTGGTCGCAGAAGACTATTTCTTGTTGGTAGTAGAGTTCTGGTTCTCCTACTCAGCAACCTCTGAGCTGGGCTCGAATTCAGTCCTTGAGATGGTGTGTTGCGGATGTAAAGTTCCTTTTTTGTCTACATTGAGAAACAAACAGCAATGAAAAACAAACTGACTATTTTATGAAAGTCTGAACATCATAAATCCAAAATAATACCATTACACTTCTGAGGCAACACAAAATACAACAAATCTGGCTTAAATACAACTGTGAGCAACCACTTTAAATTTAACATTCATTAATGTAACTATAAGTTCAAAAAATCTTCAAGACATGAGATAGCCAAGAGTACATTTTAAGCTGTTTTTCCTCTAAAGAAGCATTATGGAACAAAATTAACACAATTTTTTTCCAAACAAATTACTGTTAATTCACTCCTGAAGAGTCAGATTTCTTAAATACACTTAGAACCTAAAACAAAAGCAGGTTCTCAAAAAAAAATGAGTGACAAGTTAATTTGCTTGGGTTAACCAGAGCCATTGAAAGTGCAAAATAACGATGACATTTTCAAAAAAACTAAATGCACTGTAAACCAGTATAAAAAGTCATAGTTTACAGTGTAACCTGAGAAAGTGCAGCATAAAACCAA